TTTTGAAACCCAGCAAAAATGAAAACAAAGAACAGAAAAAATGATGCTCTTCTATACAAGTATCAGCAGAATTGTGACAGGTGACAGTGCCTGCACAATCTAAAACCATACATTGCTCAGAAAATCTACCACTTTGGAGTCATGTGCTTTTATATACTTACAGAAATTAAGCAATTTCACCTGGGCTTGGAGGTAAAGAAAAATTGAAGTGAAAGGTCATATTTTCGAGTGTACTGATTCTAAAAACAGTATTTAAGAATTCAGCTTCGGTGACATTCATGTTCAATCTGTGATACATCTGTAGCACTTAAGGAACCAGAAGAAAAATGTTTAATTCAGGTGGCACTTTTTCCAAGAGTGCCATCTAAAAATTCAATTTCAAAACACGATGCATGAGCAAAGACTTCAATGACAGAAGTTAAAGCATATTTGGTTATTTCAAGTAATAACAAAAAATTTAACCATAAACCCATTTGTCAGGAAATACAGCTCCATTTCTAAATACGTCCCCCAAAGCAATGCCACTTAAAAACTCAAAACTTCTATTGCAATCTTTATCTATGACATATTAAATGAAGAGGGTGCACTCACTGCTAACACAAAGCACTGACTTAAGAAGAACAGGAATAAGTGTCACTGTCCACAAACCTTTTCCAAGTTGTGGAAAGCAGAAGAAAATCTGTTGCTAGGCGTTTGCTAGTATTTTTTATGATTTCCCTGTTTTTTTTATTAATAGAGCTTTATTTACGAATTCTTATTGTGTTTGGAAATTCCTGACCAGTGAATCTAGTCAGACACTTTACAAGCCCATGCCCTGACTGAGTAGTCCTTCCCTACCCCCACCCATAATCCCCTCAAATAAGCAGTCAGTGATGAAACTGCCTCAGTGTATCCAAGCATCCAATCCAAAGCCCAATGATCGTGTACTGTGCTGTTTCCTCAGCCAAGAGACCCTGCTTTCAGTCTAGCCTTGAGTTCATGTCAAATCTTGAGGAATATCAGTGCAAATGGGTCCATGAGCTGGGGCAAAGCCCCTTCTACCATCTCAGCCAAAGAGCTTTACCTTTGGCAAATTGGAAGGTCAGGTCTATGAGGCAGAGAATCACTTAAACCAAGATAGCAAAATCCATCTGGGAATATGATTCAGAGCTCTTTTATGAAGGAGGGGGCACCAGATTTCTAAACACTTAGGTTCTTTCTACTGTGCTAACATTGATTACCAACCACCACCGGCTCAGCTCTCACATGGATTTATAACAGCACATTTGGAAAGGCTAAGTCGTATCACCAGGGGATTAAATTTTCTTGAATTAGTATTCCAGAAATATGATGATCAAACTAGATTACTGCCATTGAGATACATTAATATAGAGAAGCAAGAGCAGAAAAAAGGAACAGTTCTATAATTATACAGGCTGTCCCAGTAGAAAAAGTTTGAACTACTCAAATCAAAGTAATGCCAACCAGTTACAGTAATGGGGTTATTGAAAGTTCAATTACATTTTTAAGAGTTTTCATGAATTAAAAGTGTTACTTCTTAATGGGGGGAAGGGAAGAGGGCTGTGATACAGTATAGTAGTAGCATTATTATTTCTTCCCTTTTTAAGTAATAGGAGGTTTGTTCACCAAAATTAAAATTTCCAGCTTTAAATTATAAAAGGAGTAATCTAAAGATATCCAGATAAAATTGGAATCTAGCAAAAAAAAAAATTACTGGAAATATTTGCTTCAGTTGAGTAAAATAAAGCTTCTCTGCTGAGTAGCCTGGATGAAGGAAAATGACACAGACAGATTTGGTTAATCCAGTCTTGATTTGTCTCTATCTCTGGATACTCAAAATAGGGTAAATAGTAGCTAATCTCATAAAATTTCTGTTCTGGTATCAATCTAAAATCTGAATAAAACTGGAGTTAAGCACAACAAATACACCAATACAACCTTATGGTTACACAGAACTGGCCATAGTTCCAATACTGGTTCATTCACTTCACTATCTTGACGGTCTGTGGCCAAGGTTCACTTTTCCTTTTTTGTGAAGACATGAACAATTAGCATCACAGAGAAGAAAAATTGAATTTCCACTTGATATAAGCGAAAAATAGAGCTGAAAAGTTGAATAGGCTAATTTTTCCTGTAGTCAAGATCAGAGAGTCTTTGCACAGAAAGAGTCTGGTTATGGGTATTCATATAAACAATTCAAATAAGCAAAAGCTGCAGATCAAAGCCCTCATCATCCCCTGCCCCCAAAATTACAGCTAGAAATCCTCCCATTGTCCATTTAAATCTTCTCTTTGCCAAGGTGGTATTACTTCTTAGTTTGCTATCTGCAACATGTCAGACATCTCAATTAGATACCACAAAAACACTCTACTCCCTTCAGTGCGTTTTGTAGGCAGTATGTGGGAAGAAGTGACACTAATCTTAAGTTACAAGTGGATACAAACATAAATAGCACCTCCCTGTAGATCTATATGTGGACCCCAAAGCATCCTAGGAGTCAGGTTCTCAGACTCTGAACTTTAGCTGTGCATGACTGCTGTCTTTATGAAAAGAACTCTTTGGCTCAGCTACAGTTGTCATGGAAACAGCAACTTTGATTTTTAGATCTTTAGTATACGTGATATTTCAGCCATATGTTGCATGCATTTAAGTTCTCAATGTATTCCTCCTCTTTAAAACTGAAAGAAGAGAAAAAATGATTTCAATAACGAAGTAAAATACACACCATGTACTTCTCAATGTGGAGAAACATGCTTGCAAGCCAGAATAACCACAAATTTGAGATACTATGGGCATACTTGATCCATGTTTTTTCCTCCATCCCAAACAGTTTCATCTGTGAAAAGACTTCACCTGAAAAATTACAGCTCTATTTTTCTGATAAAGCCAGGAGATGGGCTTAATTTTGCTTATTAAGACAGCAAACTGTGCATTACTCCTGCATTAACAATGTTTGAGAGAGGTTCCAATACCAATCACACAAAGGGTAGTGCTGGGCAGACACAAAGCTCTCCAATACCCCAACTGGTTTGCCTGCCTCTCTCCAAACTGGGACCAGCATGGTCCTTTACACAACCTTAGGAGTAAATATAGTCTTGGCCTGACAGCACGGTGCAGCTATAGTAAACATCATACACATGTGCTCTTCTAAAAAATACCCCCAGTGTCCAGTGACATAAAAGACTGAGCTACGGTCTGGATTCCAGAAAAACAAAACAAACAAAGATTGCAAAATACTGTTTAGCTTTTACAAAACAGTTAAGTAAATAAAGCAGTGCAACTGCTCTCGCACTTGGCATTACAACCATGATTGCTTATGTTTCCGTATTTTCAACTTCAAAAAAAATGAACAGTGCTATTATAAGGTGCTCTACTCCTCCATAATTCAACAAGTCTGCATAGGCAACCAGAGAGACAAAGAATACCCATTCTTCCATCCCTCAGGGTGCTCAATACAGAGTCACAACTTCAGTCCAAGCGAAGTGCACTCTAACAATATTTCTTCATAAAATGGAGAGCACTTTGTAACAAGTTGGCAGTTATTTTCTCAGCTGCATGCAAGCTCTTAATTTCAAAGCCTGGAACATTGATACCTGACCAATAATTCTAAAATTTTACATCTGAAGCAAGAATAATTAATTTAGGTGAATACTAATGGTTACGGGTAAGTATGGGTAAGATCCTTTGCGATAGTTGACTGCAGCAAACTCACAGCTTCCTAGATTACACACAAATCCCACCCTCACAACATATCTATTTGAACTTTAAAGAGATGTCCTTGTTTTATTTTGCACATATTCACTAATGAAGCTCAGTTCTAATTTAAACTATTTAAATAACCAGATCCAGAGAACTCTGGTCTTTTCAACTCAAATGCTGTTAGGAAGCATTCAGCATACTCCTAAATGATTTTCACCCTAGATATCTTCCTCCCACTCCTGGGCATAAGTAAGCAAAGGGATCAATCAATGGTAAAGAAAACGACAAGACAGCAACTTACTCTGCCATGGGAACAACTCTTAAAATTCAAAATAGATCACTTTCTCCTACATAAATATAAATGCAGTGTAAAGCAGCTGCTACAATGAATGACTTGTTTTCAACACAGAGATACTACCACAAGGGTTTCCAATCCCTAATGTGAGACAATACCAGCTATGGAACAGAAATACAAGCCACAAACCACTTTAAACCATAGTGGTTTGGGACTGAAACTAGAAACTCCACATTACATATATTCACAGTATTTGATATATAGTAGATGCTAGATTTTCCTAACAGTAAAATAAATCAGTAAAAACTGCAAGTATCAACTCTTCAAAAGAGTTTGGGGAAGTTTTAGCTATACTATCATCTCCATACTATAAAAACTCTGTATTTTTATTTACAAACTAAGTTGCTACTATCTAGCAAATAAATTCAAAACAATTATTTACTGGCATTTTTAGTTTGGAGATAATATGATAAATTCCCTGCTTTCAATTTCATATAGTGCTGCTGTTACCAAGAGTTCTAACTACTATTTGATTTCAGTAAAAATTGGGAAATGTCAGAACATGGCATCTTGTTAACATAACTAGCCACTTCAGCCATATCTGCAGCTGCATACTCAACCACAAAGGGTCAGGAAGGCAAAACAGGGGAAAAACAATGGAGTGCATAGCAGGGAGGAGCCTGCTACTGAAACACTCCATGCTGGTTTTGTCCACATTTTAAAGTGGTTGGTAGAAAACCATGAGGGTGCAGAAGTGCCATGAAAAGGATTCAAGAATCAGAAAGGTACCTTACAATGAGAGGCTTAGGGAATTCAACGCGTTAAGTTTTTCAGAGAGATGGAGAAGTGAGACGATTACAGGATGTAAGTACCTTCACAGGGCAAAAATACTGCAGGGTGGTGAGGAGGGAGCAGAGAGAACATAATAAGATCCAATAGCTGTAGCATGAGACCAACCACGCCCAGATTCTAAGAAACTGTGGCTTTATTTTGAAACAATGAAAAGTTCCAAATGAACAAGGGAAATGCTCCATCTCTTGATGACATTTTCAAAGCAAGATTGCATACCCTTCTGGAACAAAACTTTTGCTAGGTAGGGATTGAAATTTAAGTGACTAATGACAAACAAAAGTCTTTAATTGCCTTCTGAAGAGGCAAACGCTATGAATCTAAACAGTGCTGAAGAGCTGTCAGGCATCCCCTGAAAATGAGGATGCATTAAGGGACACATGGCATTTAAGAGAAGTGGCCTGGTGCATACATTACCTAAGGGCTTCACTGGTTTAGACCAAAGTTCCAATATCCTGTTTCTGACAAAGGCCAAAAGACGTCTGGAGAAGACATAAAAACAGGTCAAGCAAACAGATATGTTCCTGATGTATTTAACATCATCAACGTACTTGCAATTTAGTAGATTAATGAATTTTCAGATCAATGAATTTTCCACTCCTAGTTTGTCTAAGCATTTCAATAATTGTTTCATGCTGTGGCATTGTGTTCTACAGTTTGTTTCAGTATTTCTGAGGCTATCTACCAACAGTTTATTTTTGATTGTTTCCTACTACTTGTATAATAAGCATTCCTTGCTCACTTTATCCATACTACTTATGATTTTGCAGGCTCCTACTGTATTTCTTGATATGTTTTTCCCAAGTCTGGTGAGCCTTGGTCTACTTAATCATTCCCCATATGGGAGATGTTTTGTTTCTTTGATTATTCTCAGCAGTCATACATCTTTTCCAAGTCTGCTATAACCTTTTCCACAATGAAGGGCAAGAAAGGACAACACAGCAGAATTGCTGCATTCAATGGAAAACAAATATTCTCATGTTGTTCGTCATTTGTTTTTAATGGCTTCCAGTATGCTACATGCATTTTTGACCATTGTTGAGAATTGATCAGAAGTTTCCATAGAGCTAATTCTGTAACTCCAAGAACTCCTGCCTCAGTGAAGACAGTCAATTCAGAATTTAACATATGTAAACCCGGGATTGTTTTTGCTCCAAATATATTTAGATATGACAAAACTGACTTTCACCCGCCATCACCCAGTGACCTGGTATTAAGAGATTCTTCCCCTGAATAACTCATTATCATCAAACAATACACAATGACCTCTAAACAGAAAGTACATATCACAAGTTCAAACCATGAATTAATGCTCAGTAAAATATACAAGTTGAGAGCATACAGTTATTGTCAACAAAGAGGTAACTCCCTCAAAGTGCTGTGAAACCATACAATAACAATTTCTCAAAGGATGAACACAGGAACAGCACAAAGACAATACAGAAGGGGGGAATATCCAATGCTTTGTCTAGTTCCTATTTCATTTCAGTATATCTGTGCTAACTTGCCTTTATAATTTCTACACAGCAATATATCTGCTTCATGTTTTATATTCTCTTGATAATACCACTTTCTGCAAGAATTTATAATACGTGAGAGTGCATCATCCTGAATCTATTTTGTTCCCAACCATTTGTGAAATTATTAACCAACTGTTTTTCCTGTGCACTGGATAAGAACAACTGCCTTGGACATTCAAAGTTTTCAAAATTTCAAACTGAGTTTTTTATAATGGGTTTTCTGTTTGTTTGTTTCACCGGAGGCCCATTTTCCTGGCATAAATTTCACTATAGCAGAGTTTAAAAACACGGTTCATGCAGACATGTATACAGTTAAATTATTTGTTGATTTAATGTTAAATTTATATTGTGTGGTTTCCAAAACAGAAGAATATGCTCAGAGACTGTAAATTTAACAGGCTCCATTTAAGTTACTTAGACCTAGTGGGTTCCTATTCTTCCCTAAAGCCAAGCTTGCACAGACTCTTGGCATCTTTCAGTTGTCTATCCTCACCCCGCAGATGGTTATATCTAAAAATACCATAACTGTATTACTGTATATACGGTGCCATAAGTTTGAATGGCCAGGCTAAATTAGCTTCAGATGATAATTGTTACTGAAACTTATTTCCACTGAGAGATTACAAACACACTGCCATGTTACAAAGCAACAGGTTTATGACAGTAAAAGGTGAAAGGATAAGTGAGGCTGTAAAGCACCAAAAATTCTACACTGTCATTCTGACCTTCTGTTCTTCATTTTCAGAACCAGACTTTGAAAAAAATCACCACAAGCCTTTGTATGTTTTCATATGAAATTCTTCACCCCCTCTTTTTCAGAGAGAGAAAAAGTTCTCTCATTAATGGTAAGTCCTGACTTTATTAAACTTACATTTTTAGATTAACAGTAAGGCTTTGCAAAAACTCTAATGTATTTATCATGGGAAATAATTAATATGCAGCAGCTTTTAGAATTCATCATCTTGCAAAGGGGGCAGGAGAAAAGGAGAAATGGTCTCTTGTTCTGATGAAGACAATAAGTTTTCTCATACTTATCATTAATTGGGAAACCCAGAGTTGCACTAACAAGAAGTGTGTTCATTAGTTGGCCTGTGATAAGTGGAGCACCAGGCCAAAAAGAAACCAGAAAAATTTGAATTAATTCATACAAGGATTACTCAATATCTATTCTCACCCATCACTTCATTCTGGAGCAAGTTAGCTGTATGCTTCCATGAATCATGTCCAGAAAGGCCTGCTATCCATTCACACAGCCATCAGTGGCGTATTCCATCTGCACTATCTCATAAGGGATTTTTAGCAAAGTCCCTCACGGACTGTTCCACAAATTCTAGTAACAGAAACACAGCAGCAAGTTTTCCATTTAAACAACAGGGCCATATATTGACATTAGAGAAGGAGCACTGTTAAAATATGACCAATTTCAATTCTGTGGTTTCAGATCAATATAGCAAGTCTTCAAGGAAGAAATAAGACTCCTTGAAAGACTACATTTCATACTTGCAGACGGGGGGGGGATAAAAAAAATAAGGAAAAAAAATCAATATGAGAGGTTGTTTTCAAGAATGTTATGAAATGTTATCATCTTACAAGCAATTTTACATGCCTTTTTTGTTACCAGCATAATTTACAATATGCTGTTCTCCTTAGCTGATTTTATTTAACTTATTGCTGAGTAAGTGGTATTCAAGCTGCTCACAGGAAGAAGCCACAGAAATGTCAAAGCAGGTTAAATTTTTGAAATAGCCAGTGAGCTCATAAGGCTGTCAGACTACTGCCTATCTAAGGAACAGAATAATAAGCATAACACAGTTGTCTATACACATATTAAACATTGGAAAGTCTTTAATAGCATGATTTTATTCAGAGGTACTATGCAGAAATTATATCCTGTCCCCAAAACTGTCATCAGTCTTCTCAACATATGCTCTCTCCTCTGAAATGTTAGTTTAATGAGCTTACTTCCAACTAATATAAAAAGTAACTAACTCTATAAAGGTTTTATTTCAATGTGTACTGAACATAGTTTATTAAATAATTAACAATGCATATAGACTAATAACTAAAAATATTTAATTAAAATCCTTTAAGCCCAACTATAAAAATTCTCTCAGCACTAGGATGGCTGCAGGACTCCAAGTCAAGAAATTGCTTCATATTCTGTGTGATGTACAATGGAACAAATGGCATAGAAAGAAGACCTGCTACAAAACTCCTTTTTGTAGTAACTTGAGGGCAACACACATCATGAACAAACTCAAGCTTAAATCTACATCACAAATGCAGCACTTCAGAAACATGCAAGTGAGCTGTGGAAGAAATATCTGGGCAGAAACAGGCTTAAAGAAGCCAAGTTCATATCTGCAAGAGAGGCTGCAGTAGCAGAATAAGCATACTGGCTCATTCAAACCTAATTCATGTAGCTTTAACAGGGTAACAGGGATTAAGCAGTTCTCTGCCAGGTGGCACAAGGATACCAATACGGTTTTCTATCCATAGCAATATTTATCAGATTTTTGTGAAGAAATACCAAGTTTAAACTTGAGTATAAATACAAACAGTGGCTTTTTGTACACATACAAGTTTATAATGTCACATACCTGCAAGATATCTGTGAAAAACATGGATCAAACAGATTGTATCGTTTCTGTATTAGGGTGGTCCCTACAGATATTTTAAAAATTCCTGTCCATCTGAAATACAAAGACTTTGTCATTCCCCCCTCCCCAAATACACACATAAGCCAATCAGCTACATCCTTGTGACAGGAGTAGAAGAGTTACTGAAGGTTTCCATGCTTGATGGCCTATAGTGACCCATAGCATTAGTACCAACCTTCTGCCATCATGTCATCTCTTGTATTGCTATGAATCATCACAAGGCCCTATAGCCCCAACCTTCCCCCTACTCCAAGCACAGACTCTTTAAAAGACGTGGGAAAATTACTTTGCCCAAAAGACTCTATTTTATATGATTGTGACTCCATGTTACAAGGCTGCCCTTTATAGTCTGTAAAAGTTGTTCTGTTCAGTCAGTGGTTCACAAATTAACCTGTAAAATGGCAAAAAGCTCAATAAAAAATGTTCTTCATTCTAGCATCACAGCCAAGGCTCACAAAGCATAAAAAGGAAAATTTCCAAATAACACACAAACACGGAATGCCACGTGCACTTTGTTGATCCCATGGTTGTTAGACCACGCACGGCAAGAGATCTTAAATTTTCATTAGAAAATGCCACTCCAGCAGCTAGCATTAGTAAATGTTCTTCTTGGATCTTCACTTTAAAAAAATGGAAATAACATCCCTCACCCCTCCCCCCAAAAAAACCCACACCAACCAAACTCCAAACTCAACAGCCACTTCTACACCAACACAAAGTTTAGCTCTTTAGCAACCAATCAGGAAAGATAGTGTCACTGCACAGTTTTATTCCAACTATTATAAAATAAAAACCGCTAGTCACAAGACTTCCACCAGAATCAGTAATACATGTATTTACCACACAAAATTCTCAAGTACAAGTTACACTGACATTTTCTGATCAGTTGGCAAAGCTTTATACTACCTGGTAGTTCTGCCTGTTATGTATTTGTAAGGACTAGCCTTTTTTCTATAGAGAAGCAAATTTAGGTCCCTATTTAATTTTGGAACCTGACACAGCAAAGGTTGAAGGATCAACAAAATTTCTAGAGTTTGTAGAAAAGCAATTCCATCAAGGCCAGAAAACTCATTCAAATCAATTCATGGATATTTGAGAGAATTTTCATATAGGTTTCTCTTGCATAGTAGTAATCTCTAGAGCACCAACTCATGTTTACTTTTACATGCACATACTTAATATATATTAAGTAAAAGAGATGTAGGAACAATCACTGTATTTCATGTTCCTGCTACTATATGAATACTTCACAGATTTTGTTGGTTAAGTGTCAAGTTGTCAGACATTTAGCAGGTTTTTTCATACTTAAAAAGCACATGATGTGTTATTTTTATTTCTATATTGTTTTAAGATGGTATAATGAGAGGAAGCGAGTCTAAAAAAACTTTACCATTTTCCAATATTCATTCTTGAAAACCATAATTTCAATCCCACTTAACATTTAAAACCTTTTCTCATAATTTCCAGCAAAACAACTACTTTGTATGAAAATTTTATAGCACCGGTTTAAGAAATTTATTACATCCCATTACTTAGCGAAAAACGATATGTGCGTTCAACTGCAACTTTGACTCAAGTTTCCACCCCCCAAAGTGTGCATATATTTAAAACTTACACATAATCACCACTAATGCTCCTTAGTCATTCAGTTTCTAAGGGCTTTTTATTATGGATTAGAACAAGGAGAAAAACCACCCCAAACGTCTTTCAATAATTTCATTCCTCCTTCAAGCATTTTTTTCTTTAAACTTGATATGTGAATAATTTATCATCCATTTCTCTTTCCTAATTCTCATATTAAGACGGCCTTGCCATCTGCACTATGCAATCACACTGAAGTAGGCACATAAAAATCAGCAGAAACAATGTTTTGGGTTGCTCCAACAACCACAAACATTTAGAAAGTGCCCCCACAAGCATGTCAGCAAGACCACGTTTTTCAGAGTATGGTTTGGAAAGCATAGACAGGAAAACCAGAAGAGGATACATTTAAATGTTTTGCTGTTTGATTTATCATTTCTTAGTGCTAAACCACCACCTCAGTTTTATGCTGCATTTTCACATCAGAAAGAAGACGAGGGCTTAATGACATTTTAGAGGGTAAATAAAAAAGCAGTGGGAATCAGAAGCAAGTACATTTTCAGAGTGTTAAACTAGAGTGAAGCCAGCCTTGAAAATAAGCATGTTCCCCAACAGTAGCTGGCTTTTTGTTGGGATCACACAGACCACATGTGGATAGCTCACAAACGCCACTGATCTTCTCATACACATCCTTCCTACTCATTTACAGTCTTTAGAAGTTTGTCTTTAATATTTTCCTCTATGCTTGACCACCATGCACTTACAAGATAAATTTGCCTTTAGGCCAAATGCGTTTAACATGCCTCAGGAATAACTAAGTGTCCTGACAAATATCCTCTACCACTTTTTTTTTGCGTTGGATGAAGGGGTGGCTGCCCTTTCCTGTCCAGAAGCAAACATATGCCATCTCTGCAGCTCAAAGCCCAAAGCACTAAACTCAGCTGAAATCAAGAGTGCTTTAACTTCATGCTCCAAGCTCTGATCTGCTGGCAGAGGAGCTGGGTACGGCTCTGGTTGTCACCCTAGCCATCAGTGGAGTGATACTCTCCCACCAGAGTGCCAGACATACTGCTGGGAGAATAACATTTTATGCACCCTCTGCTAACTTCAACAGCTCATCTGTTGGGTCTTATGACTCTCCAGCCCTCTTATGCACCTCTATGACTGATAGCAATTTTACTTCATCAACCACTCCAAAATCTCTCCTCAAAATGCAAAATGTTGGAATAAAAGGAGCTCCAACTGAATTCTGTGCAGAAGGTTTTACATAACCCTAGCTGCTTTGGCCATGGAATAGTTTCAAAGATAAAATTCAAGATTGTACCAGACATGACAGGTTATGAATGCTACTATGTTTAAGTGTAAGCTTAGGCAGGTATTTCTAGTCATTTAACCTTTGCTTCTGGCTCAGAATGCAAGTCTGAGAGGCAGTTCAAGGACTATAATAAATATTACTAGCCCACTAGAAAATAAGGCTTTCTGGTACTTCTCATAGCAGAAAACACCTAGACTACTGCTTGCACATTCAACACACAGACTATTGACAACCCTTAATAGACAAGCATAAATCAAGCAGCATGCCAGAAATTTTCTAGGGTATTTTTTTATAGATTGATCAAAATATGAAGTACAGTCCTGTTGAAGAGAACATTAAACAAAAGAGGTCCTGCAAAAACAGCAGAGAAAGTTTTGTCTTCACTCAAACCAACAATAGTGGCACAATTAGCACATTAGGATTAACAATGTATAGAGCAAAGGGAATGACGCCCAGAAGTATTCAAAAATAAAATTTGTTTTGATAAAAGTAGAAGGATAGTAAAAATGCAAAATATTTCAATTCCATCTAAATATTCATATTCCAAAAGGTTGGTTTTTTGACAAGAACAGTCTTCAAAAAGCAAATATACATATACTCTTGAAATGCTATCTTTCTAAGTGAAATGGAGTTCAAAAACATACTCAGTCCAATCCCACTTCACACACTTTGAAGTCATCAAATTGGACAGCAAGATCTAATCATTGTAAAAGAACAAACTATTTACTAGGTACTTATCTTCAAAAGCTTGCTTTGTTGGCAGCATCACCAAAGTTAAGGCAAAATAGTTAATCTGCCTAAAAACCTATTAAAACAGACTAAATTATTCTCAGATAAGGAGGAAGGCTTTGTAAGGGTCTTTTGTTTGGAAAAAAAAATTAAAAAAAACAGGGGCAAAACACCAGACATTTAGTATTCCCAAAGGCGCTAATTTGATTAAGGGAAAACATTTTAGTGCTATGGTCATCTCAGTTCACAGGATAATGTATCAAAAAAACTATGCCATGATAGGTATTTTGCCAGGAAAATATCTTTTCACACTTCTAAGAGTGCACACATTGCTGAAGGTTTACTGACAAATGAGATGCTAAAAAATCTCAGCTCCGAAGTTGTCATTGGGAGTGCAGCTGAAATAGGATTCTACCTATGAAATGTTTCATTCAACTCTGGGATACAAAAAACCTGACTTTGTTTCAAAAAATACAGATCCTCGCACAAGCTCTTTTGTGTGCCTGGTACAAAACCACATCTTCAGAAAGTGATTATATGCTTGTGCTCAAGAATGTTTTGGTCAATAGACAAGGTGTAGTATTTTTGTCCCTCAGCATGGGAATATGGCTTTGTGAGACACTACTTTTAGCACAGACAACGGAAGGATATGGCTGTACTCAGGTTTTCGTAAAAATGAATCCCCATTTCTTGAAAGAATAAAAACTTCTAAATTAAAACTTCCGAAAAAACATTTTTTCCTCAATTTACATCTGTCATTCAAATACTAAAGGAGCCAAAATCTTAGACGGTTTTGTTTTGTCGTGAAGACTATTTTTGGTCTATTTAATGTGTCCGAATAAGACTCTATCATTTCCACATTCTGTTTTTTGACTTCTACTCTAAATTTGCAAATCCCTCTTAGAATTAGGAAATCCTTTGCCAGGAAAGAACGATCAAAATCAACTCCAATATAATATAGTCAATTGTTGATTAATGTTTTGTATATTAAAAGCCATTGCAAATGCTACGTTTTGCAGAGACTTCTACTCCTCCACAGAATCAATGTAAAGAAATGCAAAGATTTCAAAGAAAATACAGATATGCTATTTATGCAATCATTCTAGATATGTTCAACAACAATAAATGCAGAAGATAACAGGTATTTAAAATGGAAAGATATGTGGGGAAAATTTAAGATGGAAAAAACCCTAAATTAACTGGATTTTCCTCTCCACTTTGCAGATTGTGAGAGGCACAAGCATAATCTTTGCTCAACTGCTCTCATACCTCCAAGTTTCTTCATGTTCTCAACAGCCTTTTTGCACCTTTTTCAAAGTGAAATGAAATGCCATTGCCTTTAAATCTGTTGTCCAAGATGAGGGTGAGGAATATAGACATATATATTATTTATATTTCATAGGATCATATGCATCATAAATTTATATACTCCATACTTTCACCTATGTATCTTTAATATATACTTTTTTAAAAAAGAAGAACAAAATAAGATCTTCTGAGAGAAAAGCCACTACAGAAGTAAATGGAGAATATATGCATTTTAATTGAAGGAACCTAAGAACCCATCCCCACACTCTTTACAGTTTTACAGCAATTATGCACAAGGTTTGCATAAACACTTCAAAATCATCAAAAGCTGTTTTATCAAAACAGCACTTAAGTTTTACATATGTTTCAACACAAATTAGTATTCAGAATTAAACAGCAAGTTGATGACAAAAAAGGATGTCAGCTGTCATTTTAAACTCTAACCAGATATAGAAAATGGACACAAAGAATGAAGACAAAGACTGGGCCAAAGTGACAGATAGCTTCTTTCCAAATACTTTTTTAAATTTAATTATCTTATTAATTCTTTCACTGCCCTAGACTCCTAGCAACTCATGATGAATTTTATCACTACCAGAAAGCTTCAATAATAGTAATTATTACAGAAGTACTGTTATTGGAACTATGATGACATAAGAATATTGCAAAGTAAGGACAACAATAATATGTTTGTACTGGAAACAATAAAAAGACATGTAGACATAGTGGGGTTTCCTCCAGACACATTTGCAAACAACACCTCTACAGTAAAAATATACTCTTAATTTAAAATAAAAAACTGAACTGTAGCAATGAATTCATTCCTTGATAACATACAGACACTCAATATCAGCCAGTCAACACTCTAGGGCACATCCTGCAATAACACTGATGTCCTGAGAGTCAGCATACTCCTGATACAAAACCATACAAATCTGTGCAGCATGTTTCTACAAGTATCAAGACTTGATATGTTTAGTGAAGTGCCTGGGCATACCAATTATAATCAGCACCAGCAGTTATTTGAATACAGGCAATTACTGACAGGAATGCCAAATGGAGGGACTTGAGTTCTCCAAAACTTAAAAGGTCAAGTGGCAAGGAGCTGGGGGGTGAATAAAGAACCAGCTGAGCCAATTCCAGGAAGGAAACAGGTTTGCTTTTCTCTCCTGAGTGGAGACTTCTCTAAATGCCACCCTTCTCAAGATGCTGGGCTTTGAACACAACAAACTCACAGGGCCACAGGTTTTTAGGGGAGTGGGCAAATCCAACAGAACTGATGGGCTTGAGCACCACATGAAGCAAAGGGTTTGAAAAAGATACCACCCGTCTCCCATCCAGACAGCGAGTAGGACAGATTGCAGCTAAAAGTCTGTACATATTTATGAAAGGCTGCAGCCAGCTGGCCAAATTTCAGATGTCTCTCTGTGCACTGGAGTTCTTTCACTCAGTCTTTTAACTTTTATTTCCGGTTGAAAAAGTAATGCAAATACATGTACTAGTTCAGCTATTCTTCTAAAGCGTGGAACTTTCATTAAGCTTGCCAGGTTAGTATTTCAGATACATAAACAGATTTCAAGCAAAGCACTTACCACTATTTTAATACTGCTTTGACAAGGTTTAAATACACTTCAGATAAGTGACAAAAACTACAGATTGCACACAGTTACACAAAAAGGCTGTCTTTTGATCCATTGAAGTGATAATACATGGAGGATTCCATATGCAAAAGCCATCTAATTCCAAAAGAGGAGCAAGAATTTGAGGGAAGGCACTCAGAAGACAAGTCTGGCCAGAATAAGTCTAGCAGTGAGTGACTCATGGTTGCCAGTCAGTAGATATGGAAATTACTTGTTCATGAACTGCTTAAACGTCCCTAACTTCCACAGCCAGGGGCAATACAAAGCTATGCAAAGAAAAAAGAATTCAGCTGCAAATATGTCAGTTTTCTAAAATAAGGAAGAAAAAAGAATTCCTACAATTTATTTCACTTCCCATATACACAGAATCATAGAATGGCTTGGGTTGGAGATCATTTAGTTCCCACCCCCCTGCCATGGGCAGGGGCACCTTCAACTAGACCAGGTTGCTTGAAGCCCCAACTAGCTCAGCCTTGAATACTTCCAGGGACGGGGCAGCCACAGCTTCCCTGGGAAACAATGATAAACTGCAAAGCAATGATTTAATCTGTTATGCTAACTCCAAAGTTCAGGTAGTTTAACAAGGGCTGTTCTGGGCAGGTTTTTTTAATATATATGGATTTTATGTGTTTACATACATAAATACACAGAGATACATATATAAAATGCACGACTAGTCAATTTTAATTTGATGGAGTATTTGTGAGTTTCTGGTTTTGTTAGGGTTTTGCTGTTTTTTAGTCTTTTAAACCAGTTCCTTCAGTAACCTCCAGTGAGAGCTAAAAAAAAAAGACATAGGAACTTCCAGTCATTCTTCAGAAGCAGAAAGTAGACATAGAAAATACAAAGGGAGTATTGGCATGGCATTATGCCATAATGCCATTCTTTTGGTTGCTTCATCACAGAGTAAACAAAGGCACCAAAAGTAGTTTTTTGTCATTTCCAGTAGTACTACCACTTTTCCTTTTAGACTGCTAAGCCAAAACTTGCTAGGTATTTCATTATTGAAATAATCTCCCTTCCTATGTAGAAAAACAATAATATGGAAGAGCAGGATGTAGAACTCCTTTGAACACTTTCTTCTGAGATTCTCACCCTTGAACTAATTCCATACCTCATAGCTATCATTACCAATTTTGTAATATTGCCTTAATTCACAATGAAGAAGAGCACAGCACTCACATTTCTTTTGCTGTCCACAAAGGTTTTTCTGTCCTAAACAGGTGATTGTAAATGTGGCTTTTTTCGAGGATTTCCCTGGAGGATGATATTGTAGTTCTATGTACTCTTCAACTTAAATTTGTGCCTTACAGAGTAACATACATAGACACGTACTGGCCCAAACCTCCTTTTTCAATGGAGAATCTAGAAAGATAAGAGTACTCACCTGGTGATTACCCCATCCACCGACGCTCAAGGCTGGAGGGACTGGAGGCATAGGCTTTATCTGATTTCTCACATCCTTCTCATCTCTCAGAACTGCCCTCAATATTATCTAACAAAAATATCCCCATGCCAGATGACTCTTCAGCACAGCATCTGCTATTAGAAGTGAAGGCACAGCTCTCACATCACCAATTCTCAAAGCTATTTTACTAAAACCATGAGGCCTGAAAACTAGATACAAAAACTAAAGTTTCTTGTGTGCAGCCTTTCAGAAGAGGAAAGAAATTTTAAGAAGTTACATCTCTTATTTGCACTGTTAGAACCAGCTGTTGGGATGCCAGTGAAAAGAGATAAGATCAAGTCACAGAGCACATCAGCAAGTCTGAGATGTCTTGGTATGTGCTCGGGAATGTGCATAGTTCTGTACTAGTCAAAATTCAGAGATTACCAATTTCACAGAAAATACAAAAGCAGCAGCTGCAATATTTATTCCCAAAAAAGTTATAAATAAATAAAAAACCACAAACAGCAATATAATAATTCTTTAAAAAATTATACAATTGCTCTATATCACACTTTTCAATGGGAAGTACTTTAAAATTTAAAATAGTATGGGAGTACTTTAAAATTTATTCTGAAATTCTTTAAAATTTATTCAGAGACATGGTCAAGGGAAATGGTAAAGGGGAACCAAGTGAAAAAGTATGATAGAACCAGTAAGACAAAGTAGACGAAAGTTCCACTGGCTGGAGATATACTGAGGAAGCAGCATTACAACTCTTATTTCAGGAATCTCAGTATACAATAAAACAGCTTCTGAAAGAATGCCTTGGGCTACTCAGCAGCAAATAATAACTACTGGTCAACAGGGAGATATTTAAAAGAAATGCTGGAAATTATCTGCATAGCTATGTGTGGCCAGAACTTCCAATGATCACAAACTCTTCTTTATAAATGAAGTTCAATTATAAATAACAATATACTAAGGAACCATGCATGCTATATTATAAGGGACAATTTAAGAAGTTTTCTGAAGCATTTTTCCATGCAACTGACAGGCCTACTGACAGGAGATTTTTTTATTTCTAAATGAAGGAAACATGAGATGCTATCATTTCAACATCCCCAAAAAGCAGAAAATCTTATATTTCTATAGTGCATATGATTTAATCATTGGGAAGTTAAAGGTTTAACTTTAAAGCAACAGTGGTTTATTAGGGACTTGCACAGTGCTTTGAAAGACACTACCCCAACAAGGGCCCTAGGCACTAAGAAACTACCTCAAAAATTTTTTAAATCTGGCAATCAATCATCAATTAATTTTTTTTTTGTGGGCTTAGGAGAAGAGCCTTAGCCTTTCAAATTATTTATGTGTTTTTAAACAATAAAACCCCCTGAAAAATAAAATACTAAGAATTTTTTTCAAATGACAATTCTATATGCTGAATTCAAGGTGCTGAATTAAGCAGATATGAGCTGTAAGTTTGTTTATCACTTAGCAGGAGAAATACTCCCACATTACAGCTAAGAAGTGTTTCAACATGATCTGAAGCAGGTTCAATCCTTGCTTTCCCTATTACAGTACACTATGTTTCTCAGATATAGACTATTTCCAAAATGCACTATGTAAGCATCACTAAACTGCTATAAAGTAGTATTACTACTTCACTTCCACCCTATCAAAGAGTAATCCTTCTCCATCTACTGTCCTCACCTTTCATGATCAATCGTACAGACTCAAATCCGTGAATGAGGCACTGTCTTCTCCCACTTCTCTGGCCAAACTCGAAGTGCTACTAGTATTGTAAATACAACTATTTTAGCAGAAGAACTAGAACACATACAAACTTCCCTCTTGGTTCTCACCACCAATAAATGACACAATTTTGGGGAGGGAAGAGAAGATACGGACGGGTTACTTCCAGCTGGACCATCTTTTTGATCCTACTCACCACAAATATCAATGGCAGTGCAGGACATGGCATGGTACATGTTTAACACTAGGTCAGTTTATACCAAAGGCAGAGCTGCAGCCACCAGGCTTCCAAAAACCAAAAGGGCCAGTCAGACATTATTTTGGTTCCAGGAATGATAGTGAAACCTCAACATCTGCCTCCCATGGGCAATATTCTCTATTAGGGCTGTCTATTCCTACAGCTAACACATGGGTACCTACACCAGGCTTAAATAAAAACATTAAGGTTCTCACTGGCAATGAGGGACAGCTTAGTCTGGAGAGAATGCTAATTTAGCTGCCCTTACATGTAAACTTGAAAATAATACAACGAATTGATAGCTGCATGCACAAATCTCACCAAAAATGTACTTCAATCTATTATCACTGGGCTCTGCCTGTAATCTCACCACTACAGAGTATTTGTAAGGAGCTGCAAAGAAGTTACAATGAATATTTTGATTTTATTTTTAATTAGTTATCTTTCATATGATGATAAAGCCCACAGGTTTACAAATACCTTTTAAATTATATTAGGATCATCATAATCTCATCACAGAGACAAAGAACAGCAGCAACATTTGTGATGGTCATTTGCTTTTATCTCCTATACTTCTCAACTTAAAAAAGTTTGCCAGGGTGACTAAGTTTTATCTACATAAAGGAAAAAAAGAGGTTCTCATTCTTTTTTCACACAGAAACATACTCCAATTTCACACTACAGGCAAGATACTAAGTTGTTGAACTGAAACTAAGCTCCTCAGCTGTTCAGTACAGAATCTGGAGTTGCTCATATGTGAAGAAATTGGATAAAGCCCTTTCTATCAGAAAGTATGGCTGAATATTATTAGAACTGCTGATAAGACTGCACAATTATTTTATTTGCTATCAAATCTCAAGTCATTTGGTTTTCCTAGTCAATGTCTAGCTCTTACAAGTACTTTCCAACATGACAGTTTATCATATGATAAGGACAAGAGGGCACAATCTTAAGCTCTGCCAGGAGAGGTTTAAGTTGGATATTAGGAAGAAATTTTTTATGGAGAGAATAATCAGGCATTGGAATGGGCTGCCCAGGGAGGCGGTGGATTCACCATCCCTGAAAGTTTTTAGGATGAGACTGGATGTGGCACTTAGTGCCATGGTCTAGTAACCATAGCGGTGTTGGATCAAGGGTCGGACTTGATGATCTCGGAGGTCTTTTCCAACCCGGCTGATTCTATGATTCTAAGTCAATTCAAACATGTGGCACAGCTCAAAATCCAGTACCCAAATGATGTGGAACAAGACTTCTGCCATAAAGCACCCACTGAAACACAACTGAAAGACCAAAAGAGCTACTTTGTCATTACCATGAAATCATAGTTCTACTGCCTCTTCACAGGCACACACACAGACACACACACCCCTCAGTCTTTTAGTGGGCAAGGAAAAAGATTGGAATTCAAGTGCATTAGGCCAACTAATTACTTTGATTTGGAGAAAACCATTCTCCATACTACAGATCAGTGAAAATATTACCAACCATGATGGTAAAAAAACCAGTCATAATGAAACCTTAACATTTACTACTCATAAAGTACATGCCAAACATGTAAAAAAGGAGACATTCAGAAAGCTGGAAGCTTTTAAACGAAGTATACTCTCACACTAAAAGAAATAGAACCTGAGTTGAAAGGTGCTGCAGAAAGCGCTTTTTCCCCTCCTTCCACAGGTTTTAGACAATCACTAGTAAGCTTCTCACAAAACAAATATTTCCATTTTACTTTTAATAAACCATACAATAGTTTTCCCTTGTCCTTAGGAAATAAAATCAGTGAAAAATAGTAATTAGATTCTTGTCCCAAAGCAGTATAAGCTGTAGGAGTATTTTAATCCTTTAAATATGTAGCTTAAACATGCCCATTGCATATCTATTAAGGAGGAAGCGGAAGTTTTACCAGTAAAATCCTTTATACTCACAGGCATTATGTTATTCTTTTCATGCCAGGAGGTAGATTTCCCTAAAGTTACACACACTGCCAGCAACAGAGGCACTGAAGCCATGGGTATCAAACCCTTAAAAGCAGACGGATACAGAATTCCACTAAACCTTGAGCGCTATATTAATGCTTGCTTGAATTATCTTCCAATTTCATTCATTTTCTTCTTCAAATGTTTGTTTACAGTTATTAAGACCCTGCAAAAATTATGCCTTGATTATAAATGGTACAATCTTTCAGTTGAAAAATATGCAGAATAAGGGCATCCCTCAACTCAAGCAGTCGACCACTGCAATTTCCCGGGTCCTAATCTCTAATATCCAGATCAGAGAGAGCAAAGTGGAAAAGAAATGCTGTGAAGTAAAATCCCAATGGCATTCATACAGCTCAACATTAAGTTATGCTGACTCTGGCTCTCTTAAAAGCTCATTGTTAAACTTCCCATGTCACTCAAAGTCCATTTCTAGTTTTAACACCAAAAGGAACATGATGTACGCTTTTCTTCCTAGAAGCTTAAAGTGTTCATAGTCTAAATATCTTAGTACAGTCAAATAATATGAGAAACCAAATCAACAGTGTCTGCAAACCAGCACCTGCTCTTGTATACACCAGAAGTCTCAGTGCTCTGTTTTTACAACTCCTAGGCACCATAAACTAGCTACAGAATGGTGTCTTTTCACATTCTTGAGACCCTTAATTATGTAAAATATTTAAAAGTCCTGCAGCCTTGTGTACAACAGACAAAATCGTAAGATGTTACCTGCCAGGCAGATATTACTCTAAAAAGATCTATTTAATGCAGGAAAAGTAAAAGAAATCTTACACAGGAGGTTTCAAGTTCATCACAATTCTGTTTAACTACAGCTCAGTCTAGATCACTAACTACACTCAGTAAATGCAGAAAACAGCATCTTACATTCAATAAAACAAATTTCCCATTTGTCATTAAGAGCAATGCCTTTAGCTTTCTTTTTTTTTTACCCCGTGCTTTCCATTACAATGTCAAGCGTCAGTAAAACATCTGAAGGAGTAATTAGATGTGAAGAAGACGGTAATTCGCTGCAGCAGCAGAACTAGGCTGTTTCGGCACCACGGCGGCTTCTCCTCTCCCTTCCCGGTGCCTGTCAGGAGGCACTCGCAGGCCGGGCGCTGCTCCCAAGGGCTCTGAACCGCTGCTCTTCTAACAAACCCCATCGACACACGCCACAGAAACATTTACCTTTCCAGCACCGACCCCTGCCAGGTCTCCTGACCTCGCAGAGCACACACACATGAACTCAGGCCAAGGCTGCTGCAGACACAGCCGGCTGTGCGGAGCGCCGGGGCCGTGCCGCGGGGGCTCGGCACACATGGACCCGCCGGGGCTCCCCGGGCCCGGCCCGGCTCCCCCCGCGCCTCGTCCCGGCCGCGCCCGCCGCTCACCCAGCTTGCCGCGGGACTCCTCCAGCTTCTGGATCTGGTTCTCCAGGAACAGCACGGCCACCCCGAACACCAGCACCGCCAGCAGCTGCAACTTGGGCGGCAGCATAATCCTGAGCAGCCCCATGAGCAGCAGCAGCAGCGCCGCCCGCCCGGGATCACGACATAACGCGGGACCCGGCCCGGGGGGGCCGGCGGTAGCCGCAGGGACGGCGCGGGCGAGGAGGGACGGAGGGAGCGCGGTCGGGGGCGCGGACAGGGCCCGGCGCCGCCGCTCTCACATCGCCGCGCTCACCCCGCCCGCAGAGCGCCAGCAGAGCGCCCGCCGCCCCCCGCGCCCGGCACCGCCCGCCCGGCCCGGCCCCGCCGCCCTCCCGCCCCTGCGCGCGCTGCTCAGCAACCGAACGCCCGGCCGCGCGCCCGCCCCCCGCCCCGCGCCGCCATCGCCGGTGGACCCCGCCCCCCGCCACCATTGGCTGGTGCCGTCACCGCCCCGCCTCTCCCGCAACTCGATTGGTCCTGCGCATGCGATGCCCCGCCTCCAACGCCTTGGCCCCGCCTCCCCGGCTCTGAGCTGCCGGAGCGGGGCGATGTCCCGCCTACATGCGTCCCTTCCTGATTGGACTGCACGTCTTGACGTCCCGCCCACCTGCCCACGCTCATTGGGCACAGGCACCACGGCGCTTAGGAAAATCACAATGGTATTGGTCAGATTGCCTGTCAGTCACCGGGGCCGGGGGCAGAAGTGCCGGATGGCAGTGATTCCCCAGAAAGGAGTAAGGGCCTTATTTGGGCCTGCGTCCGCAGTGCCCGACCAGGGCTGAGGAACGGCAGCTCCTCTAACCTCGCTGTGAAGCCCTGCTGTGAACATATATTTCCCGTAGAATTCCAGGTGATGTTCTGCGTTAGCTGTTCCTGCCGGCGGTGCCGGGGGTTGGGAGCGAGTCTGTGCTCTCCCGCATCAGGCAGTGTCCCGGTCAGCCGCGCTGGGCGGGGTTCTCGCGCGGCCCGGCGGCGCTGCGAAGGCCGCTCCAGCACAGCGATGGCGGCGGCCGAGCCGTGGGCGCGGCGCTGGCCCTGCTGGCCCTTCTGGCCCTTCTGGCTCCTGGGGCTGCAGGCGGTGAGAGCTGGGGCCAGCATGTGCGCGCGCGACACCGAGAGCGACTGCGATTCCTGAAAGAGGGCGGGTGCGAGGGTGGGCTGGGGGGCGGAGTGAGACGTGTCCCGGGGCGGGCGGCGGCCGTTCTCTGCCCATCCCGTTGCTTTCCTGCCTCTGCCACCGCTTCTTCTGCTCTCCTTGTTGGAGGCTGGTTTCTGCTTCACAGTTTGTATCAGTGCTGCTTTTGCTTTAACGTATTAGATTATCTGGTGTGAAAGCAAAGCAATAGTGCAACGTGTTTTTATAATCAAAGCTTTGAAGGAGAAAATGCTGCTGAAATGAGGTACATCACTGGCTAAGTATTGTTATCTTGTTCTGTTGAGAATTCAGCTTCTGAAGTGTGAGGATTCTTTTTATTTACACTTACTATTTCAGGATAATATAATAGTTAAGGTCCTAAAAATTGAGGGAAAATAAGGAGGAGAGAGAACTTCTCCCTTCTATTTATTATTCTTTCCTTCCCCTCCCTATAGTTTTGTTCTCAAGCTATTTTGAACTTGTGTAACCTAAACTTCTTCCCTGAGGGATTCACTTGTAAGGGAGTCTTTACTTATTTTCATACCCAGTTTGGTTTTTGCTTGGTTCCCACTGCACCTCCCCAAAGCACAGAGTATTGGCCTTATGTTTGCAGGTGCTTTGGGGGTCTGCTGGGGAAAGAAGTGAGGGGTGTGGCTGGTGGAAGCAAAGTGACAATGCCAGGAACACCATTTTTGCTCCAAGGTGAACAGATCCAAAAGTGAGGAAAAAATGACAGTAAAGCATGAAAGGGGTGAATGGCAAACAGCAAGGTGCAAGAAAACTGCTTTAGGTACTACCATCATAAATTTAATAAGTAAACAATAATTAAAATGTATCTTTGGCAGGGTTTATCGTCAAGTTGCACCAGATTAGGTTTAGTTTAGATATTAGGAATGATGTCTTCACTGAAAGGATGGTCCGGCATTGGAATGGGCTGTCCAGGGAAGTGATGGAATCGCCATCCCTGAAAGTGTTCAAAAGGTGTGTGGATGTGGCACTTGGGGTATGGTTTAGTGGTGGACACGGTGGTGCTGGATTAATGGTTGGACTCAATGATGACCTTAGAGGTCTTTCCCAACCTTAATAATTCTACAAAAAAAACCTCCAAATGTCATTTTAAGTGCTGTGACAGTTGGTGACATTATTTTTGCTGCCCATAAAAAGCAGAACTGGTGTTTTACATAGAAGCCATGGAATTGAATTGCCTATTTTAATGTATTACTAAAAAATCAGAATTGCAGGTTTTTACCTACACTTCCAATTTTCATATGTAATTTCCCTTTAACATTAATGCAAACATGAAGTTAAAATCCTACTTGTTTTCCTTGTTGAGCAGTTTGGTCTGCGCAGTCACTCTCTGGTTGTGTTTTTCCCATACTTACTTTAGAAGAGTGTTTTCAGTGATATGAAATTTACTGCAATTGGTTTGAAAGAGCAGGCTTTGGAAAGCTGTAGCCATGTGCATTTCAGCTGATTCATTATGTCTGGGGTTTTCTCTTAACTCGTGAATAGGAAAACAGTAGAGTTATCAGAAGTGTATATAAATTAATTTTGGCAGGTCTGATACCTCAAAATGTACGTATTATGACTGTCTGGAATTGACTCTTAGTTCAAGATTTCAAAATAAGGTGGTGTTTTAAACCTATGGGCTGACTGTTAGGCTTTACTGTAAAACAGTCACAAGAGACTTAGTTGTTCTTTCTCATCATTAAAGCATTTAAAGTCTTCTTTAAAAAAAAATTAATGCTAAAAATATCATTGTCTTGACTTTCAGGTAAGTGTATATGGAGCACAGCTGTCATCAGAAGCTTGCAGAGAGCTGGGCTTCTCCAGTAACTTGCTGTGCAGTTCTTGCAATCTTCTTGGGCAGTTCAATCTGAATCAGTTGGATCCATTCTGCAGGGAGTGCTGCCAAGAAGAAGCTCAGTTGGAAACTAGAAAGGTGAGTTTTGGACCAAATCCTTTGTGGAATAATTCAACATGTTATGTTTATGAAACTTTGCATTTTAAAAATATATGAGAGTCTGCATTATACTTTCAAGAGGAAAATGCAACATTTTATTCATAGCCCAATGTACATATATAGGATCCAGATTTGCAGACCTGCCATAGTGCTCTAAAATAATATCCCTGTATGAACAGGAGAATCTTTGGTTCTTTGGCAGCTCTTCTCTGGTGTGAAGGGACCATATTTAGGAACTATGTCCAGCTTTTCTGAAGGGGAAGATGTATGGAATTTGAAAAGGGCAAAAGAAGAGGATAAGGAGACTGGTGTTACTGATCACGGCCCTTGCTTGGGCGTTGACCCATAATATCATGGCCAGGACAGCTTAGCTCAGTCCTGAGGAACAAAAGGCTGGTGCAGCTGCCAGGTCAGCTCCTGAAGTGGCACAAACCTGACAGAAGCAGGACTGCTCAGCTCCATTCTGCAGCAGTGAGAACAGCTAGATATTTTGGGAGTGATCTTGCTCAGAGCCCATGCTGTGCTTTAGTCAGTTAAATTAAGGCAAAAGCTTTCCTTTATCTGTAGTAAATAAATATCTGTGTTCCTTAAGGTATGTCATCAAGGAAGAATTTTTAGAGTTCTTGAAAAGAATACATATTTTCTAATATGTGGTAATTTAAGATTATAGCATCATTTTTAATATTCTTATGAATGCCGTTTAAGAAAGTGGAAATTTTTTTATACTGTTACCGCTTCTTAGAAATGCGTTTTTCAGATTTGGTGATTGTTTTGTGGTTTTAATTTTTTTTTTAAGCTTGTAGTCAGTAACTTCTCTTGAAGTCTAGCCAGTGGAAAATTAGTGTTGGGAGAAATGACTGTTAATATTATCTTAACATATTGTATTGAGAATCATCACAGTTTGGATTGACTTGTGTTTTAACATAGTGCTGTTTGTAACAGTTGCCTGTAATTGCCTTAAGTTGCCTTAAGATTTTACTATTACATAAAAATTAACAATGTAATTTATAGTAGCTTCTTAATTTTCATGATAGGCATGCAGAATAGAAAAACTGAATGCTGCCTTTAGCTATAGTTTTTCCCATTCCCTCTTTTTTTTTCAGGTTACCATAGAAATCTTCTTTCTAATGAAATTTTGATAGTAAAGAGTAAATGGATGTCAAAAGTCTTAAAAGGGTTTTTTTCATACCCTCTTACTTGTAGAACTTTTAATCTTACTCTAAAAACCTGCATCTTGATGTAAGATGTTTGAGTTGCTGATTTGCAGCCTTGTACGTTGCTGAGTTCCAGAGCAGTGATGCTCTGGGTTTTGCTAATGCTGTGACTATGTGCTTGAACATCCTCAAACTACAGGAGTCTTTTTTTCTGAGCCATGATTCCCGTACATGACGGAGCTTGTTCGTTATATGAGCAGGTATTTGCTCCCATGGCGTGGGACAGCATGTTCATAGTCTGTGCTACAACCGGATTTGCAAACTAAAGAGTTCCAGGGCCAGCCTCAGGATTTGAATTTAATTCTCTTTGCAAATGTGTGGCAAATATCAGAAACAGGGAAAGCAGGAGTTAATTTATGGCGTGACTTGTGCCTGAGTTCTAAATGAGAATGTAAAGTTTAAGGGGATAGCACATCTATCTGAGAATTTTTATGTAATTGCTACTTTTCACAAATGATCTGTGAAATATTCTCAGGGCTAAAAATACTTTGTGCTGCATGGTATCAGTGCAACCTCAAATGAGATGTTTACAGATTTGAACTGTTTCATAGCCTTGAAAGATGTTTATTAATCCTGGTTTTGTTATTGGTCCAGTGGTTTGTGAACTGAGATTGTGGAAAATAGCTGTGAGGTACTCTTGTTACCCAGAATTTGTCTTGCTCCAAACTTCGGCTGACACCTGTCCAGTGAAATATTTTAATTACTTCAGAATTGGACTGTGGGTAAAATGAAAAACATGTTTTGGTTATTTTCTCTTCCTCTAGAGATTTTGTATGCAGTTTCACACTAATTCAGAAGCTAGCTTAAACAGTATTGCTTTAGACAGCTGCAAGTTTTAAGCCTCAGTCTGTCAGATGCAGAATACTGCTGGTGTGTAAAATGTAGAAGGATGAAATGGAGGTGAAGCTAACTGTGCATGAAATTGTAGTAGCAGGAGAGATTGTCCATATTTTGCAGTAGCTGAAAATAGCTGCACTCCATCTGCAGCTTCACTTAGTCTGTGTGATCATTTCAGACATAGCTATAAGCATATTCCATTAATTGTGTATTGTAATCTTAGATTTATCTCAACAATATATGCGTGTCAAAATCCAAATTGATTTAAAAAATCAACTCTGTGATAAAATGTGCAATACATTAAATTTCCCAGTTGCACTGCGCAGGATTGCTACAACCCGCACAAGTTATCAGTGTGTCTAAATGGAGCTTTGGAATATATTTTTGCTCACGGAGATGTGTTGAACTTCAGCATTTTAAATTTCTACTGTCAAGTACTTGTCATGTTGTAGTGTTATGGTGTTTGGTGACTTAGAAAACACAACATCAGGTGTAAGTAAAAGTTGAGTAATGAAAATGGATGGTTCAGATGGCAAGTTGTCATGGGTAACTTCACGTGTGTCTATCGTATGCTATTTCGAAATAGTTTATGGTTCTGCTGTGAAACAAGGCAAACAGTGATACAGAAGTCTATATGCATAATTTTGAAGTTCCATGGAGATGGAGACTGCTCTATTCCACAAGTTTAAGGAAAAAGTCTAAAAATCCTGAGATTTAGCAAGTTTCTTGCATGTATTCAGGGTTATCAAAATATGCTAAACTGTCAAAGCATGGTTTAATCATTTATTGAAATATCTAGCCTCTGCATTGCTAAGGTAATGACAAGTTTAGGATTATTTCTCACCAAATTTGTAATAGATGTAACGATATAAGTAACTAAAATATTTCAGAAACTTGAAATGGATTATTGCGCTCTGAGAGGGGAGGAAGTTAATGCAAGGCTATAGACACAACCCCACTAGCAGTAGACAAACAGAGTGGACGAGAAAATTGTGATATTTAGAGACTTTAAATACTGTGTTTTCTCAACATCTTGAAAAATGCTGAAAAGGGAGAACCACCTGGGGAGAAAATCCTGCAAGTGCGTACTATAACACTCTGGAAAATTGAGGGAAAAGTCAAATCACAACAGTGGAACATTTCCTAGATTTTTGGTGTTGATTTCTGCTTACCATCTGGGTAGAGGTGTCTGCACTGCAGTTACATTGATCAGAAGGTGTGGCATAGGCATATTTGCACGCCTGTTCCCCAGTGTCACATTGTAACGAGTGCTGTACTTAATCAGGTACTTGGACATTTCTGCAGGAAGATCGTATCATGTTTTCACTGCATCAAGCCATTCTTTTCCTTGAAAGTCCTTGGTACTTGAAATTGTGGGAAGTCGTTTTAAGGCATGAATGATTTGGTCTGTTTCAGTGCTGCAAAAACACAGAACTTCTGATCTGTTGAAAGTGCAGTCTGAACTCTGAACCCCTTTTTCATTATGATGAATATTACTTACATTCTCCTTATGATGTATTTTGGCCATAATTTAAAACCCTTTCTTTGCATAGAGTTAGTGTTGGATCCCTCTATGAAATGAAATAAATATTTGCTGTAATATTAGTAATAAACATGACCATTGTCATTATGACTATGTGCTACTTCTATGAAAAAAAAATCAAACAGAAAGCTTTCTTGAAATTCTACCCTTTTACATGTACAGGCTTCTTAAGTGTGCTGTTATAAATTACAAGCAGAAATAAGGTGACATTCTTGTTGAGACTTACTTTTTAAAACTCAGAATAGTTTACAAAACTCACAGTAATTACTGGAAGTAGAATAACTTAAAGTGCTTTTAATGCTTCAGGCTACTCCTGTGTAACCCAATTTACATTCATTTTTCAGAGTTTTTTTTTTCTTTTCATTTCACTAATTAAAGTGCTACACTCAAATTACTGTTGGCTGCCTGCTTGTTCTGCCAGAGGCTCTTAATATGAATAGTTCCAGTGAAGCAATCTCATCTCCTAGTTTTCAACCCAATGGTTAAAAACAGAGAACTCCTTAGAATGCATTGACATCTCAGTGGGGTAATGTAACTGTAAGTCATATCAGTGCTTGTGGAAACAGATTAGAATTTTAGTTTACTTCTAGCTGTTTCACAAAACCCACATCTTTTTCTGTCTTTTGATGTGTTTGGTAAAGTCTTTTGACTGCTTTGTAAAAAAACAAATTGTGCTTTTACATAACTGTACTCCTTATTTATAACATGGTACGTAAAAATGGTTCACGTTGGTTGTTTTTTATCAAGTGTGACTTTAAAAATAGTGTAATTCAATGACAGCCTATTTTATTTAACACTCGAGTAGATAATCAGAACTCTGTAATTACATCTAATATGTCATATCATCTCCCTTCAAAGTTTGCTTTTAACTAAGAAGTGTCCCATACAGGAATAATTTGATGGGAAGTATTGATAGGGAAATCAGGGGAATTGAACTGACTGCGTTCCCTCTAATTGAGACAGTCTCTTAGGAGAGTACTGCTGCTTCAGAATATTATGCACAACCATTCCTTGTACTAAAAATGTGCTGCAGTGGATGTCCTTCTCAAGAACTTTACCATGTACAGTCTTTCCCTTCCTTCTGTACATGATGTTATCAGCAGTGAAAATTAATGTTGACAAACAGTAGTCCTAGATAAGGAAGGTGTAGATAGCTGGTCAGTGCCCAAGACAGAAATTTACCACCTTTTCTTTGGCTCAGATGCACCAAAGGTTCATCTCTGTCAGATAAACTGAGATAAAATACATTATCTGTCTGTAATAGGGCAAGCCTTACCTGTGGGAGACCTCTATTGAGTCTTATCAGTGAAAAAGAAAATGTTGGGGAAACTATAAATTTGAATTTGCTAAATATGAGTTTAAATTGTTGATGTGCATCTACGCTGGTGAATGGATTAGGTTTAGCTAATTAAGGCTGACCTTCATCTAGATAAAGTACTGGCATTTGACTCTAAATTTGTTAAAAAAACTTCAAAAATTAAAGGTTTCAAAATTAATGAAATGTGTGAGGTCAAATGAATAGCTCATGAGATCTGTTCTCTTTTCAACTCTAAGGCCCTTTCTTTTTTAATAAAAGCATATATTCTGGAGAATAAAAGAGATGTTCAGGGATTATACTTCTAGAGGTAAGTAGATGCTTAGATAGAATCAGATGGTATATTCCAAAATTGAAACTTGAACTATTAACTTTCTATTTCTACTTTTTTGCTTGCCTAATTCTGCACATTAGGTCCAAGTGAGAGCCTGTACACAGGAGCCCTTTTTCAGCCATTCTTTTCTATTCCACCTCCACTGAAATTGGGTATTCACACCACCAAGTTCCAGAGGTCTAAAGCTGATGGTTGCTCAGCTTCTGCATTTTCTCTCTCACCCTTGTGCCATATCTCTTGCTCACATGACCTTACACCAAACCATTTCCTACAGCAAAGTTAACAAAGATAGTCTGCCAGAAATAGAAGTTGTTTTGGAATTTTTCAGTGGTTATTGGATTTAAACAGCAAAACCATTTAAATAGTCCTGCAAGGAGGATATTGTTAAACGCAAAAATAAAACACTTAAGTGGATGACATGTTTCCTGTATTCTGGAGAATGTAACACTAATGCACCACTATGTTTTGTACGTACAGAATAGAAAAGTTGAGTCTGCTGCTCAAAGTTCTGAGGATCTCCAAGAGTGCAGATTCTACAACCTTTCTTAGTAAATTGTTTCAGTGCTTAAACATCCTCATTGTGACTTTTTTTTCACCCTCATATTCAGTTGGAATTTCCTTCTCTGCAAATAAATGAGAGCTTAGTTCAGAGGAACTTGCCTGTAATACATACCACTGATCACAGGAATAGCACTGATTCACTTAAGTGGTTTTTGACTGTTAGACTCTGTTTCCAAACTCTTATTTGGAGTTAGGCATCACCCTTCACAGGATAATGAGTTGTCAATGGGAGAATTTGCTTTGTTGCTAAATTTACTGATGACATCAGTTTGGAATGATGTGTGTGTAGTAATAACTTTACTGGCTTTCTGTATCACAGAGCAGTAATTCATAATGTTCCTGGCAGTGAGGCTTTCTTGACTGTTCTCTGTTAACTCACAGATTCTTACTCATGTTCTGCCTCCAGGAAAAAGAAAGACTAGAGTGATTTTTGAAAACTTTGAACTGTCTGTATAAATACCATGCATTGTCTCCCATAGAAGAAAAAATATTTTATAGTTTATATCTCAGTGTATATTTTGTTTAAGTAATTTAGTTTTCTGCTAAAAGTCACAAATGAACTGGTAGTTAGAGGAGTTTAGGAAAATGCAGAGGAAGCTTGCAACAAAATCTCTTTTTGTTATAACTTAATTTCTCAGAAGAACAAATATTGATCAACATGTTGGTTTGCTTTCTGGGTGGATGGATGGAACACAGTAAAAATTTGCACACTTTTCAAAAAAAGAGATCATTCACCCTATTTTCCAACGGTACCGGTTTTTACATACCAAGCAACATAGGCCATTAATAATAATAATAATATCAATATTTTCCTGACATTTTTTGAAATAAAACAATAATTTGAGTTGATAGGATATAAGGTGGTCTCTTCATCAGATCTGCTTATAATATAATATGAAATCAAAATTACAGTGAATTTCATAAAAAAATTGTTTGCATTGGAAAGAGACTAGTTGTTGGTCAATATTTAGTGGAAGATTGTTTTGTACCTGAGGCAAGCAAAAATTCCAGAGTTTTAGCTGTAGTCATAAATTGTGCTTTACTGCTTATTCTCAGAGCTTGGCTGTACTTTTTAAACAGTTTGATATTAGGAGAGAACAATACACAGATATCAGGGAGAATCCAGATACCATGAGGCAGCTATTGACCATCGTGTGGCTTTATCTTAACGCCCCCTTCCATTTGATTTCTTAAGACATGCTGATACTATGGTTTTTTCAGCTGATTGCAAACAACTGCACAAATCCAGTTTGAGTGACACTGTAATCTGTGTTAGGCAGGGTCAGGCTTAGTCATTAGTTAGAAGAAAGCAGTCTGCAAGACATTGGTGTCATAGAAGTAAAATTAGGTATAACTTTTTGTATTTTATGCAACTTTTTTGTCACCTTTGATCTAGCATAATTTTATTGTGATCAAGGAGCATTCTGTGTTAAGTACTACGTTTTGCAGTTCAGTTTGATCTGAGTTCCTGTAAACAGTAATGGTTACATAGCAGGAATGCAGTTTTTCTTCTGCAGTGTTCACCATGAGAAACTGCGATAACAACACCATATCTGTGCATAAATGAGACGCCATTGGAATTGTCTTGCAGAAATTGCTTCAATTCCCTTCCTAAGAGCACGTGAAATGTTTCCTTTCACCCAAGTTAAAGTTCCTTGGTTTTACTTACTGGAACAATTATTTTTACAATGCCTATTTTTATTTAGCACAATTCCTATGTAAATGGTGGTATTCTACTGTAATTGCCACTTTTCTTCTTCATTAAAGCAAATATGACCCATAGTGTGGTTTTCCTCTTCTCAGTTGTGCAGAGCCATCTTGATTACATCAGTACGAACTGTAACAAGAGGTTCAGGTGCTTTACTAAAGCTTTTGAATGAAATTGAACTCAAGTTGATGCTTTGGAAAAGGTGAGGGAAGAGTTCAGATATTGTCACAATAGAAAGACAGAAAGCATGCTATTAGAATGTTGCAAAAAAACCCTAAGTTCTTTTTATAGATACAGGCATGAATCGGCCTGGAAATCATAACAGCATTTGCTTTGGATGTTAGCATGGACACTAGTAATAGTTTAGAGGGTCTTTATTTCATTCTTTGTAGTACTAAACTTCACTTAAACAAGTGAAGCATTACTTTAAAATGAACTAACTGATGAGTTAAGCATTGTGTAATGGACTGACTCTAGATGTTTATATGCCTCCATACTGAGTGATACATGTCATTCTTAGTAATGCTTGAACACAGTGACTGCCTTCACAAGGAATTTTGGAGAACATCTGCTCTGGATGCAATGAGATGGTAGCAGCAGTAGATATTATTAACAAGTGTGCTTTTTGTAGTGGGCTAAGTGATGCAAATAAACCTGTGCTTCTTGCAAAAGACACCTTTGTTTAGAGTTATAAGTGAAGCCAATTGAATCTTCTTTTATTCTGGTCTAGCCATCGAGAGAGCAGCTGTTTGTCCCAGCATGAATCTAAACTTTTCTTGTACCAGCACAGTTGGGTTTCAATTATGGCAGAGTTACAAGCTCAAAATTTGGGCATCAATAATTGAGCTGTTTTCTTTGTTAAACTTCTATCAGATATTGGCCAGGAGTTACAAACTGGGAGTAGTGAGTAATTACAAAATGTCTTACATATTTTGGATTCTTACAGTGATTTTGTTCCATAAAAATCCTTGTTTGAAAGGAAGAAAATAACTATAAGAATTATGTGGAGTAATGAGAATTCAAAAATGCTCATTTGACCATTGTCCTAAATTTGAGTATGCTTACTTATACACTTGCATAAAATAGTTAATTAACTAGATAGAAGGCTATTTATTCCTTTGTCCACTTCCTTATACTGACTTCTTGATAGAAGAGTGCAGATAACGGTCAGTATGAGAGAACCAGTATAAATGTTCGTTGGATTAGTGAGTGTGCAAACTAATATCTAAATCTTGGATGGCTGATAGAATTGTTATTGAATGTTTTTTAAAGAATAACAAATAGAGACAAGGTAAGTGAAGCTTATCACTGTTCTGTATTTCCTCCATGTTTGCAATTGCTTCGTGTTTTAATTCCAGAGGAACTTTAATTATGCAAGCTAATATCTGAGCTGTTTATCACTGCCTTTTTTAATTAAAACCTTTATTTGAGTGGTGAAAAAGCTTTTAAAAAATCTGGTATTTTTGATCTCTTGAGTATTATTTCATAGTACTTCGGGGTTTTAACGGTCAAATCTTAGGATTTTATCTTAAATCGCATGTCTAGTTGAAAATGTATCTGTAGTTGAACAAATTTCTGAGCTGCTGTTCTGAACAGATAATGCAGTGTAACATTTCCTGTTCAGTTTCCCATTTAAGTAATGATCATTCATTAGTTCACACCAAGGGAGAAGTTGTAATTTCCCTCCAAGTGATTAGAGTATTTCTTATGTTCTAATTCACAGTATTTAGGCAAATATTGAGTTGGACCTGAATTCAGAGTATTCCTATTCTGAAATGAAGATGTATTTCTGAGACTTTGTTAATATCTTAGGGAAAGAAGAAACAGTTTTCCAGTTCCTAGCCCATAATTCCCATTGTAACATGTCTGATTGCAATTTTTTTTTAAATGAAGCTTTGCTTACAGCAACTGTGTATCTCAAATTATCTTTTTTTTTCAGGTTTTACATTTTTAGTATAATGAATGAAAATTATCATGGATCTTGAGTGAACAGTCAGTTGTTGCATAAATCAGAGACAGGTCTGGAATTGTGATTCTGTTTAGTATCTTATTTGTAATGGGCATCAAGGCAATAGCATATTGTCTCCTCAAAGAGAAATAGTTCAACAGGTAACACACCATATATAAACTAATAATTTAGATTATTTTTGTCATTAACAGCTTCTGTTTACTATTACAGCTTTATGCAGGAGCTGTCCTAGAGGTATGTGGATGAAAATTGGGAAGGTTCCCTCAAGTCCAAGGTAAGTAAAGCCACTGCTGTTCTTTCAAATATGAAATACTGTCACAGCTGAATGACAAAATGTGCTTTTAAGTACTATCGCAAGTAGTCATAAATTTAGTGTATCAGTAAAGTTACATTGACCTGAGACTCATGGAACTGGTCTCCAATAATTGATAGATGAATTTATATTGTGCACTTGTGGAACTACTTTATTTTCACAGATCCTGCCATATAATTGTTTTATCAATGGATAATGACAGTCAACTGAAGGGAATGGAATACAGTAGTGTAAAAGGAAAATCAGTACCATCAGTGCGTGGTGGGAGGAAGCAGCAGGAAAAGAATCTGTGAGAAATTTCAAACTGGACTTTTCTTATAAATTGGGGAAGAGCTTAGGTGATAGCAGTAGTTTGGTTATTTGGGGGGTTTTTCCTGCGATGAAGACCCTAATACTGTACTTTGGACATAGTTGGACGTAAAGACTAATCTAGTTTTAGAATTAAAAATTGCACAAACAGCATGTTTCCATCTGCCATGGGCAGTATTAATACCTGCCTGTTTAAAGGTTGGCTGACAAACAAGTAAAAAAAAAAAAAAAACCAAAGAAAGGGGTTTAAAACAGGTTACAATTTTATGTAAGTTATGCAGCAGTCTGTCACATGTACCCACACATAGTTCAGTTGAATGACTGCAAGACCAGAGCAAAGTTATTTTCTCTTTTCCACTGTTTAAAATGTCAAAATAAGAATTGTTTAAATGACTTGTCCTTCTTCAGGGGGGTGAGGACATTAACTTTGTAAGCACAGGAGTCCCTATTATCTCCATGACCCTTCAAATTTAGCAAACATAAAAACATTCTCAACTGTTGCCCATTCACTCAGCTGCTTTATGGTTGTGAATTTGTAACAGTGAAGTGCTCCTTTGAGCTATAGGTTTGAAGAAAAAGCTCAATCTGTTAGCCTGACCCCAGCCTGCAATATGTCCTCCATTATCTTCATGTGTAGGTCCTTAAAAGGGAACTTCCCTCACACTATGAAATGTGTTCCAAAGACTTGGAACGGTGCAAAAGGAAAAACTTGAAAATTTTGAATAGGTTTTCTTTTTTCTTTTCCTTTCAATCCTTGGTTATCTGAACTTGCTCAAATATTTACAGTCCATTAATCATATAGCTTACTTTTTAAAAGTAAGTGGCTTTACCACAGCTGAATAAATTTCAGTGTTTCTTAAGTAGATATCTAGTTTGACTACCCCTTTTTCTTTGGTACAATAAGAATTAAAAAAGGACTGAGTAGCGCACTTAAATTTCTCTTTTGCCTTTTCATCACCGATTTCTGCAGTTTCTCAATCTGAGTTTTTCTTGACCAAATTTACTGCTCTAGGGTATTAGAACAGGTCAGAAGGTGGGATATATTTTAAGAGCATACTTAAAAATTTTAAGAAGCGGTAGAATATATTCTTCCAGCTAGTATTTGTCTTCACACTACTATTAGTCTCAGAACACTTTTACTTAGATTTTCTCTTTGATTTTAACTTCTCTCAGAAACAGTATCTAATGTCTCCATCTTAGGACATTAACATTCAAGAAGTGTTTCTTATTTCAACTTTTCACTTGGATGTTTGCTGCAGAAGTTAGGTTGCCTGAAAGTCACGCTGCTGCTTTTGAAGCATTGTCTTGGTAGGCTTCATTGAACTGTGTAGCCTGTCATTGAAGAGGTCTCATCGCAAATAACTGATTTCTTTTCCATAGCTTCTGTGAGGATTTTTTTAAAGTTTTGTTTGGGTGTGTTTGGGTTTTTTTCCAGAATATACACAAAATGATGCTGTTAATTGCAGGGCTGTGTATGTGTTAGAATACATGGATTAGTGTATGTTACTCCTGTAACTGTGAAGTTAAGTACCTTTAAGTACCTGTGTAAATTGTTTTGTCACTTGGCATAGTCCCACAGACTTGATGTGTCTCAGACTACTTCTGGATTATGTTTTATCTGACCAAAGAGTGAACAGTGTTATTTTGGTTTTGGTTTTGTTTGGGTTTTTTTTTTAATTATGAGATTCACATTTTAAAATAATTAGGGATTAAAATCAGCTGAATTAATAAAGGTTTGTAAAAGTTACACAGTTGGGAAAAACTGTAGGTTGCTCATGGTTACTAAATGCAATATTCTGTGGTTCTTCTGTATCAAGGCTTCTTTTCAGAATTTCTAGTTATATAATTTTTAGCTATAAACAGTTGCTGAATACACCTGTGTGCCTGAAATGTGAGAATCATTACATATGGAATATATTTGTAGATACTGGGAGAGCAAAGAAGTGAGAAGTGATGAAAAAAATCTGGTCCTCAGCTAGAGGATGAAAAAGTCTAGTCTTCAGCAAGATTATCTCAGTCTTAAACTGGATGTTATTCTTTGTAATGTCACAGCAAACTACTAAATGCTTTTGTGAATATGGCCAAGGATGTCTGTTAGGGTTTTCAAATATAGCTTCTTGTGATAAGTCTGGTAATAAACCACATTTCTGTACATCTATTTTAAGTTCAGTACTGAACTTATTTTTCCTGATAAATCTACCTTCAAAATAAATTGCTCTGTTATAAATGCTGTACTCTAATTCCTATATTACATATATTTTGAAGTTGTTCTCTGTAAAACTGTTCTTAAATATTTATTGTTTAAAAGCACTCCATCAAAGTGCTTTTGAAACATTGAAAACCTAAGTGACAAGTTTCACAGATGAAGCAATACCTTATTATACCAAGTAACACAAAATGTGACAGTTTTTGGCCGACACCCATAAAGCTAAGACTCTGGAACAGAATAGTAAATTATCAGGGTCAGTGATTAATCTAGCGTATTTATTTTAAGTTGAGTTTTCAGTGGCAACTGTGTTCTGTTCACAATGAGGTAGGAGATCAGTGTGTAGACTCTTACATTCTTTCTAGTTTGTTTGACAAAAACTGAATTGGGCTGGTTTTTTTCATTGAACATTTCATTTGTATTTCTCTGAATTCTTGTTTTACCAATAAAATAATTCTCACCTCTCCCTGTGTGACTCTAAGTTAAGAAATGGATGTGCTCCCAGCAAATCCGTTATGGAAACAGAGTCCTTAATCCTTGAACTCATACAGTAGCCAGCTACATTAGACCTTCTGACTTCAGAGTCAGTAAGCACTATTATATTGCCAAAGTTCTGCAAGTGTGAGGGGAATTCTTTTAGCTACTAAAATGTAATTTCTTTTGGGACTGTATTGTATGAGGTAAGATCACTCATTTCCTAGTTATTTTAATCTGTAGTTCATAAATATTGATAAAAGAAAGTCAGAAAATTATATTAACCTTAAATCTTGCATTGATAAAAGCATTAGTAGAACACTTTCTAAGAAATGTGGATTTTATAATGGGAGACATGCATCACTTTATCATAATCTTTTGTAAACAGATGATACACAAATTAAAACAATACTTCTCTTCAGATTCAGAAAAGTCTCTTGCCCAACTGCTTATACAAAGTACCCTGTCTTTGGGGTTTTGTGAAGTTTGTTCTTCAGGCTTGATTGGAGCTCTGTCTTGGATTGGTTTCTGAAAGCATGTGGTGTTTTGTATAAAACCATGAACAGCTGCATTGTAACTTGATTAACAGACTGCAAATAGTAGTTATTGATGTGCCATATGAATTCTTAACTTTAAATTTTTATCTCAGACTGAGGTCCCTGGAAGGTAAAGAGCTATAGTCATTAAAATGCAAATGAGCGCTTGATGTGTACTGTAGTTCAGTCTTTTTGCAAGGCTCTCATGGTATCTTTAGAAGCAGGCTCATGCCATCTTCAAAACTGCAGAGCATGTATTTGTCCCCAAAACAAATTTTTAAAGAGTCTGAGGAAAGACAGTAATGCTTTTGGTCTGCCTGTGTTGCCAGTGATTTACATATTCACATTTTTGAGCAAATATTACTAGTTGTCTTAGCAATGCTTAGCTATTGGTGACATTGTTAAATGTTGGGATTTCCTGTCTTCATAAAATATGCCTCTATTGCTCTTCCTTTTGTTTTGGTTGCATTTCTTTTTCATAGATTTAATACTTGATAATTGGCAATGTCTCAATAAACCCCTTTTTTAATTCAAGTTCATTTCAGGTACAAAATGGTCAAGTTCTTTGTGCCTTTTCTATGTACAATTCTGTGACACTATGCACAAACTTGTGTTTCCAGTAAAATTTTTTACTTTCAAACAGCTTGTGGCTAATAATTCAGCACCAGATAAGCAGACTACCCTTTGTTTCAATAGCTTATCTGAAGTAATATTACATTTGCTTTCTGTATTGAAATTAACTCAGAACAACTCTTCGTTGTGCCTGGGGAGATGTGGTGTCATGCCCATGTTGGGTCAGACTCCTGCTGTACCTAAGAGGATAGTGCAGGTGTGTGTGTGCATATACATAGACTTGCTGTTTGGGCCACGGTGATGCTTAATGTCCTTAATAATCTCCACTTAGGACTCCAGGCTTTAGTCCCAACAGAACTAGTTCTTCACAGACTTTTTTAAAACAAAGAGGTGTTATATGTCAAAACAAAGGGACGTTATAACAATAGCAGTGAGTTCTCCATTCTACTATGTTCATAGATAGAGGCTGCTTTTAGGTCTTTAGAAGCACTGTTCAGTATTACCTCTGTCTGCAAAACAGTTTGGTGTGGGGCAGGCTTTAAAATGATCATAGAGACCTGATCCTTCTCTGACCTTTTAGTTGTAGTTGATTGTGTGGCAATACAGTCTGCTCTGTAGGAACACCTCAGGAGTGCCTTCCAACAGAAGGCATGTGCTTTGGTATTGCACATGTTTTAAAAGAGCATAAGGTAAAGTGATTTTGCAAAGCTGTCAGTAGAACAGCTCTTGTAGTCTGGTGTTTAATTCACCAGAACACTGTGTCATGGCACCAAGCTCAGAGTTCATCTTACAGGAGTCAAATTGGAAAAGGCCTCCCCTGCTCACCCGTGGATGGATTAGAGAAATGCTTGTTTCTCTGTGATGTGTAATTTCTAAAGCTGCTCCAGAGAGAAGAAAATGGGGAAATAACTAGGATTTCAGTGTTAGACATCAAAGTACTAAATGATGGTGTAAAGATGATGTGCAAGTACCCTTTAGACATAGGAAGCAACAACGTTGATGTCAGGGCATAGAGGAGAAACTGTTGGGGCAAGGCTGAAGGTGGACCATATATACCACATCCCATGATGAGCAAGCACTTGTGTGTCCCAAACACACAGTGTGCACTCTAGCTGTATCTGACTTCCTGACCTCACCAATTCATTTCAAAGGCTGTTAATTCAACTCAAGGACTGATTTGGTTGAAAGGGGAAAAAAGTATTTGATGGGATAATCTGTATTTTTAATGCATATCAGTATTTTAGTTTCCCATTTTAGCTTCTAAAATTCAGAATATACAAATTATTTGTACAGTGAGTGTTTTTCATTGTTGCATTGCAAATTCAAGTGACTGATGCAGAAAGTCACTATGATCAGCATTAGAAATAAATATGCCATAACAGAAACTAATTTCATTCCAGCTGTCTCAAATTTCAGGAAAAAGGTTCTGTAGCGCTTCAGCTTTCAGAAGATTTAGACATTTGACATTGATACAAGTGTGTAATAGCTACTTTTAACGTGACAGAATGTAATGTTGCCTATAGAATACTTTCTTCTTCCACCTAATTCTGTTTCCATTTTATGTGAGCTTGTTCAGTCCAACACTGCAGCCAGAGAACAGCCGCTCGTGTCCAAATGAGCTTTCATCTGTCGTTAAAGTAACAAATTCTCACACCTGTTACAAGCTTAAAGTGCTGTAACCTGAGGTAACTCCCAAAGGCTATTCTTTAATGCAACTGAGTTCTTGAGTTCAGAGTTGCTTTGGAAACTTTATCCATTTTACTGTGCTGTCTTACCATTTTTAAGTTTTGCAATTAAAGTTATTCACTATGCTGAGTGCTTCTTACCACTTCCTATTCATATAAAGCCCTAGAGACTGACTTCAGCTTTAGATTTAAATTGAAGAAAAATGTGGAAAAATTCCTCCAGAAATAATTCAGTGTTCTCTGGACTTAAAAAAACATAAGAAGTATCTTTGCCAGTTTTTATGCATGTTCCTGTTGATGACAGCCAAGATGACAGGTCACAAGGACATGGGGAACACTGTAGTTGCAAATATGTCTTTGAGTTTAAATCAGACAGTATGTGAGAAAGTACTGGTTATTTAGTGCTATTTGAAATTGTTATACAGTACAGGTTACAATATGGCATTAGTGTGCCATCCTGTAGAAAGAACAAGAACAAGTTTTATTTTCTTCAGGGGCCTGGCAGCAACTTGGGCCTTTGGTATTTTTTTACCTTGTTTATACTGTGTAGTGGTTGGTGCAGCAGGCAGAGTATATGATTTTGATCTGTACTGGGAGCACAGTGGAAAAGGGAAGAAAATAAGTGCCACTCTGTATAACCATGTTAGAAAGTGTTAAGGTAACTGCAGTAATATAAAGATAGGTATAAAGATGCCAGGAGACATCTCTGCAATTACTGAGGAAAGCACTGCACTTTGTCAGGCAGTATGAAACATTAGTCCTGAGGTTGAACTCATCTCCATGGACCAGTTGGATGCAGTGCCATTTGTGAGAGATTCATTGTGGTCTAACCTTGAAAAAGCAGCTTGAACATGCAGCCAGCACCTTTGTAAGAGTCAATCCATACTGACAGGGTTCATCCTTGGGGAGATGCTACTGACGTACTACAGGAGTGTCCTGAATCCACTTAATGTCAATACAGATACTAAACTCAGCCTTTAGCACAGCCTGACTGCAAAAGGCAATAATGAGGACTGTATTTTCTAAATAAATTTTAACTACTTCTAGAACTCAGGCATTCATTAAAGTAAAGTATTGGAAGGAGGGGATTATGCTCACAATTTATCCTGAAATAATTTATATTGTCTTTTCAAAGTTAAGGTTAAAGCCCGGGTGGTGCTGTAGGGATACAGAGACTGTGCTGCTGTGCTGCTCTAATACCCACTGTTTGCTGACTAGCGCGTCAAGTGAGGAGTTGTGCAGCAGCAGCCCCACCTCAGATGGGAACTTCTCTCCATGTAGCTGCCTGACAGGCCATGGAGTCCATCTTAAAGCCGATTGCCTTTAGGAGTGTCAAGAGAAGAGGAGATACCAGCTTTCCTCTTGTTTTCTGGTCTTGTTTTCTTGCTGGTTTTCAACGCGTAATCTCAGCGATCTCTGCAAGACAAGATTGTCTGTCTTGTTTGCAAGAATAACACCTCTACCCACAGTTTCCTCTGTGCCCTTTCCCCCGCACTGCTGCAGTGTGTGTGGAGTGTGCTGATGAGATGGGTGTCATACTCAGCCTCCCTCACAAAGCTTATCTGCAGCCAGATTTTGATCACTCTAACGCTTCTCCTCACATTTGCGTATCACAGCAGCATATGGGCCAGTCTGCTGAAGGCTGTCAGTTGTACGTGCAGATAAACTGACTTACACAGTTGCACTAGTGTTCGAGGAAAATCCAAGCAGATCTGAATCTTGTTCAGATTACCAACAAAAATAGGTGTTCCTCTGGTGTAATAAGTTTAGCATTATTAATTTTGTGAAGATATTAAGGTTTTTAACATTAAAATATCTTCTAAAGCATCATTCTAAAAGAAATAATTTGTTGAATACTAAGTTAATGTAAATCTACTTAATGCAAGTGGAGAAGAGTTTGATTTTCTTTCTTTCTTTTCTCCAAACATAGCTTTTGTCAGGAGTGATAAGCCAAAGCTCTTCAGGGGACTGCAAATCAAGGTGAGTAGTAGCCTAACTTTTTTTGCAGGATGTTAGGAAGAATTAAGTTTGGTGGAGATAGTCCTCCTGTGGATTGTTCTCTATTTGCTGATCAGGAAATCCTTTATTAGAGGACATATATTTGCACTGCCAGTATGAATCTTCACAAGTTTCTGCTAGTTATATTAGTTTGTTTACTGCTCAGTAACCAGTACCAATTCTTTGGTGGTGGTGGGGTTTTGATTTATTTTATTGTTGTTTGGTTTTAAGCCAAGAAAAAAATTATACTGTAACCCGTAATAGGAGATGGGAGAAGAATGTAAGGAATGCTTACATTCTGTCCTTACTTTGTGGATATCTTGGATTTACTCAAGCTCTTTCTGCCATAGTTTCCTTTTCTCCTGTTCTATTCTCCCCTCATTTTCTTATGGAGCTGCCATTTCCACACATTCAGTGATTCCTATATTTTTCTCCTCCCTCTCAGAATTTTCTTGCTGTGTTCTATTGTGCTGTTTTTATTTTATAGACTTCAAACATCCAGCTTTATAGAAATGCATATACTGAATGCTGTTTCTTATGACTTGCATATATGCAAAGCTGCATAAGCTGCACTGCCTTAAGTCCCAACAATTCTCTGGTTTCCAGATCTAGTGTAAGACTTCACCTTCCTCTTAAAATCCTATGTGAACTTTGAGTGTACTTCACAGATACACATCTTGATTCTTGCATCTTGTGCTCCCATCTCTATTCCCCAAATGGCACCATCTGGAATCACTTCATAGCTATGCATGGCTGCAATAAGTGATTTGTCTTCTCAGCAGCAGATTCCATCTAAAACAGATTTCCTCTGTCTGTCTCACACATTCATGTCTCCGTGTCCTCCAGTTTCTTTCAAAAGCTTTATCTCCTTCTGCACGTCTGACTGTTTCTTTTTTTTTTTTTTTAAACTTTGTAGATTTATTGAACATCAAAGCAGTCTGGACTACGATTGGTATAGAGCAGTACTAGAAAAAAAATGTTGTGCCAATTAATCTGTATTTATTTTACAAGACTTTTGGAAAACTGATTAGAGGTGCCGCTAGCTTCATTAAGTAAAACCAACTATGTTAGCTCAGTCAAGCAAAGTGAAATACTCCTGGGGAAATCTTTCCATAAACTGAAATGGTCAGAGCTTTTTAATACTCTTAAAAGCCTTTATCTGTGTTACATATTTGTGACTTAGTGAGTTTGCAGCAGCATTAAAGAATTGTGTTACCAGCAAAGTGTAGTAGGCACAGATACAACATGGCAGGAAAGAATGTGATTACATTAGAAATTGATAGAACTTTGACATGTTAAAGTGGCCTGAAATTTCTGAAATGGTAAAAAGGCTATTGACCACATGAGAAAGATCATTCATCTGCTTGATTCAAAAATCCAGCTTTGGTAACTTAAAACAGTTGAAGTAAATACCATCTTTCAAAGCCAGGCTTATGGCATTGCCTCTCTGCACATGCATTAACTGGTGTGGTGCACCAAGGAGAACAAGTAGATGTTTCTGACACACACCCTCACTCCCCTTCATTTGATTTGTTCCTCCACTTTGCTCTCTTTGACATTAAATGCAAGTTCAGAAGTCTGAACTGCTTTAAATCACTAGAGAGCAGGGGAGGTGTTAATATGGAGAATGCATTTCCTGCCCAAGGTAACTGACTCTTCTTTTTTTCCCCACAGTATGTGCGTGGTTCTGACCCTGTACTAAAGCTGCTGGATGACAATGGGAACATTGCAGAAGAACTGAGCATCCTCAAGTGGAATACAGATAGTGTGGAAGAATTTCTAAGTGAAAAATTAGAACGTCTATAAATCATTGCTTTCCATCCTCTCTCTTTTTCATATTTTGTCATGGTAATCTTCTCAGATGAATTGTCCTACAATTGAAAACACATTCCAGCTTCTGTATTTGTTTTAAAATATCTGCTGTGCTGTACTAAACATCTTGTAATTAGAAGGGAAGCTTCAGCACACATATCTGACAAGTTGACAAACAATAGCTTGTCTTAACGTTATTATTTCAGCTCTTAATGCATTTGTCACTAACAAAATGCCTCGTTTTAAAGTTAATTATGCAAATATCAGTTTGTTATAATTGGACCTGTTTTTACAAATGCTCTTAAAATCGAAGAGCTTCAAATAATTGAAATGATTGCCATGCTTTTTGTCTGCTGCTTTTTCTAAGGAAGTCAGAACCAAATGCAATTTTCTATCTCCCAAAGAAACTTGGCTACTAATGCCCTCTTCTTTTTTTTTGTATTTGAACTGTCCTTTTATAGAAGCATTGTTTACAGTGAGTATCTAGTTCACAGGTTTTGAAGCTGATGGAGGAACTCATGCTCTGATACTGTGAAACATTTAGTAAGTACACTTTAGTGAAGACTACATAGAAAACCTCTGAGGTATATGGAAGTCAGATGTCAGGTGTGCTTTACATTAAGTGTTTTGCTTCAGAAAACATGAGCTATAAGTTTTGAAAAGCTTTCCTTCTAACTTTCAGAAATTTATTGTAAGCCTGTTTATCAAATTAATTTAGAAGCTGTTCTTCTAAAATGTATATTTTTCTTTGTCACTTGAAATTTATGTGAACAGGGAATATAGACAGTACATATGATAATGAGTCATATCCATTAAGACTTGTCAGGTTTTCCCAGTTAGAATCAATAAATATGGTAATCAAGAATAATGTGGGTTTTTTTCTAAAGCCTAATTAGTAAATAAATTTTCCCTTTAACTACTTAATTCTCACCAGTTTTTGGTTGGCTGGGTGTTATGCTATGACTTGAAGTGGTACTCAGGTTTTGTCTTCATATATAATTTTATATCTCAAGATCTGGGAATATATCTCCAGCAATTTATATCTCTATAATTACAGATCTTATTCCCAGCTTTGGAGAAGAACTCATCAGCTTCATAGCAGAACAATAAACCTGGGACTTGAGACAACACTAAACTATCAGGAGCAATATTCAAAGGAGATTCTTTAGGCATAGCCTTCGGAGTTTTTATTCCTGAAATATTCTTTTAAACTCGTAGAAGGTTCGTGCAGCTGGGTCACATGATGTCTCGCTCTCATGCTATGTCTTTCACTCCTGTCCTTGTGAAACATGCTCCTGGCCTCCCAGATGACTCAGTGTGAGACAGCTACAACAGTGGTCACCACTGTCTTGGAGAAACATAATCTGTACATAAAAAGCACAAATCTTTGCAGCTTGTGCTGACTTATTAGAGTCAAACATGGATTTGTTCCTGGGATATATGAAGTATTAGTCAGCAGAGGAGCTACAACCAAAGCATGTGGCATGATGACCAGTATTTTGGTAGCAAAAACATGCTGCCATCCACTGGTCTTTTAATATACTGACTGTATTCCATACTTCCCATTCCTGTGTTTGCCAGCAAGGGATTTCAGTTTCTGTATGGATGATTAAGTGTGCTGTTTTAGCAGAATATTTTAACCTCATCCTTCTCTTCAGCTTTAGGTCCTCTTTATCATGCAACAGAGAGATTGTTTTCTTCATTTGATATTTACTTAATATTTTTCTCTGCTTCTCTGTGATTCCTTCCTTCTCCTTAACATGACAGCCAGTGTTTCTGACCTTCAGTCTCCCTTTTCTTTCCATGTTTTCCTACTGCCAGCCCAGTACTTCCCTACACAGACTCTGTCTTCCCACACCAGGTCTTTCACTGCTGCTCTTGCTTGTCTGTTACAGAAGCAAGAAACTCACTCTTGTATACTAGGAGATAACCATGCCAGAGTGGAGGAGGATGACAGGCCAAAGAATTTCTCCTCCAGCATCACTGAGTTTTATGACTGCAGTCACAGTACTGTTTCTGCAACTTCTGACCTTTCCAAGTACTAGTTCTCACATGTTTCCTCCTTTAAGGAGACTGGAAATGAGCTTTTCTCCCAGTTTCTCTCCTAGGTTCCTGATTTGCTGATTCCTATTCCACATACTAATCTGGCCTTGTAATAAAGATGCTTATTCTCTTAGTTTAAAAGCATGCACAAGGTACATTCCTGTATTTCCCTATATATAGGAACATGTTTAGAGTCTTCCCTGATTCTGTTCCTGGGATGCTGAGCCCTGATCCTACTCAATCTGTAGCTTCTAGCAAAAGCTTAATTACCTACACTTCCTGACCTGTTGGCTGTGCTCCATGCTGTTCTTGAAGCATCGAATTCACACTGTCCTGGCTTTATTCTTTCTCATTCTGTCCTTTAGATGATACTCAGGGTCTTGGCTCTAGCGACATGCACTAGGAACATTTAACATTCTGGCACAAATGAGTTGGGCTTTGTGCTAAAAGAGGCAATTAGAGTGGGGAATAATTTCTTTTGGAAATTCTTAAGTTTCTATTTATCAGTGTGAGGTTTTTTCTCCAGTCTGCAGCTGTGAAAATTCATAGAGCTCAAAAGGTTATTTTGGCTTGTGGCAATTAACCACACAGAATACAAGGTTGAAAGCTCCAGTTTAAAAAGGAAGTGATTCATTTTTACTTATAGCCATGATAAGCACCCAGTACTTCATGAAAGGCATTCACTCAGACTTATGTAAGAATTATTTAATCTTATATAATGCTCTTGTTGTGCCAAATCTTGAGAGAGTTAATGAAAGGACAAATAAAAGCAGCAGGCATGCATGACTGAGTTGGAACGTGAACTGTCCATCTACTACTCCTGTCTTTTTAGAAGGAAAAAAGCGATCTTTTTGCAGAAAAGAGTATCTGTGCTTTTAAGAAAAAATTGTGTGGGACAATTCATTTTACACACAGATGTGATGTGGAGGAACTTGAAGTATAGTGTACAAGCTACTTGGAAGGGTTTCCTGGGTACTTGCTCAGTCATAGATTCCTGCAATGTGAATCTGAATACCATGATCTTAGCAGGCAAAAATTTGTTTCAGAGCTAAGGGAAACCTTCCAGTAGACATTAAATTCATGGAAAGAAAGTATTCAACTCAGTATTTTGTTTTATTGTTCAGCCTTGAGATAGAACAAGAACAGATTGCCAACTTAATGAAGAGCACACATGAAAAAATTGTGTTCAGAAACCTAAACACCTATTGAGAGCGTCACTTTTTATTGAACTTGAGCTTTCAGAAGCAAAATAAATCTTCTTATGTTCAGCCAGGGAGATTAGACATCTCACCCCCAAAGAAAGAGACAAAAAAATGCTTTATTGTCATTCTAATTTATCAGCATGGAAGGTGGATGGTAAGAGCTGCAGTAGAACTTCTTTACATTGTACCCATAAAGGGTCAAATCTAATGACATAGATTTCAAGAGTGTCGTGCAAGGAACACCATCATTTGCTGGTTCTTGCTGTGTGTAAGGAAGGTTGTTTTGCTAGGGATGCTTTGACCACTTAAAGTAGATGGACTTAGAAATTAGTCAAGTGTGCCTTAAGAAGGGTCCATTAAATGCTAAAATGCAGAGTATTTATCTCAAAAGCAGCTAAAGAAAACTTCTGAATTTGTGTGGTTTTCCTTAAATTATTAACTAACTTTTAAGGCCCAACCCAATTACTTTGAAACGAATTTGCTGTCATGTCTAAGAGGAAGAGCCTAAGAGGCTCTAAGAGGGATAAAGTACCCAAGGAGACACAGAACAGACAGGTCTCTGATATGTTATTGAACACTGTGGTTCAGAATGCCAGCTTCCCTCTCAAATGCACTGTCATAAGCAGAAGGTAGCTGGAAAATATTATCAGTAATTTTTTCCTTATCAATTGTCATGAAGGATGGGCAGAAGGAAATGCATTATGCAATTAGTCACTAGTGAGCTCAGACAGGAGACAAACTACAGAATTGATCAGAGTATTCTTGCATTTATTGATCTAAATTGGAACCATGGCACCAAGTGAGCAAAGACTGTCTCAAAGAGTACCTGATTATCTGTTTAGAAATAGGCCTCGTTCATCATCAAGAATCCATCAGCTTTGTTGCTGTCCAAGAAACAGGGTATCTAACTACTTGTTTCAGCTGCACCTTGTACATGAAAGCCTCACATACAGCAGCCCTTGTGTCCACCAATGTGGAAGTTAAAGTGTCTAAACACTGAGAAATGGAAGAGGACTCTCAGCACTTCTCACTGCTGAGGCAACCATGATAAAAAGAGTTGACCATGATTTACCCTTGCATCAAGGAAGCGCTTCTTTCGAGTCATAGTTCATTTTGTCTGCTGTCATAGTTTAACCCCAGCTGAAAGCTAAGTACTACATGGTTGCCTGCTCACTCCCCATTCTATGGTGGAAAGAGGAGGAGAATTGGAAAAGGTACTGAAAGATGTTCTCTTGGCAATGATCTTTAGAGGTTGGATTTAACTTGGTTAGCTAGGAGCCTTTCTGACTCTGCCCTTAAGATAAAAGCAAGACTTGTAGGAAAAGCACATCATTTAGTATTTGCTCTTGCATACTTGGTGCCAAACTGTGATTGGAAGGACAATCCTGTTTTGGTATAGACTAATCCCTTTTAACCCAGTATAATCTTCATGTAGTTATATCAGTGGAACAGTGGTTCAAATCACGGACTAATGCATTCCATACCTTAAATATGGGCAGAGTAAAATTTCCACTGTTTTCTACTGTGGGATGTATGTAATTTCAAGGCAGAATGTCTATCAAACCTATCTCTAGGTTGCAGTTCCTGTCTCAGCTAGAAATTCTGTGGGCAAACAGATAGTGGAGGAGGATAAGCAAAGAATAAAATAGTTAAGACAATTTTTTTTGCTCTACCCCTTTCCCTGCATTCAATGGCCTCGTTTCTCAATGTTATTCTACATTTTAGGCCACCTGACCCAGTTTCTGGAAAGCTCAGATCTTTGCTAAGGAGAGGTCTTGAGAAAAGACACATCTTTAACCAGCAGGTTGAGGTGGCTCATGGTGAAACACCTCAGAGCCTCTGTACTCAGTGCAGCCAGGCTCCAACCCTCAGAGTTTCCAGTCAGACTATGACTCCTAATGCTGCCAGCTTGTCTTTTCCCCTCCTGGGTCTGACAGCAGAGCTGTAATAAAGTGACAGACCGCGGCTTCCCTCCACTCCCAGGGGTGCGGAAACACCCGCATCCATTCTCCAGCATTAGTCAGGCATGCCCCAACCGAAGCAGCCATGTCTCCAGAGTGGAGTCTTGCTAATACTTTTATTAGATTATCCGCATCATTCACAGAATATCTGGTTTTATGACCTGTCACTTCCAAACTCCACCACCCCCCACGCCACACACATGCCTGGGAGCCCGGCCAGGCTTTCCCCATGCAGACGCCCGGCCTTGCTGTGGAGGGGTACTGGAGGGGCCCCACACACAGCAAGGCCCTGAGGGCAACAGCTCCACCTTCAGCCTTGCCAAAAGGTTGCTGAAGGGATTGTGACAAAGAAGATCCACAACCTGATTTTTCAGGTTGTGTGGAGTAGGCAGAGGTGTGTCACCAGCTCTGGGACAGCCTCCCTGTGACCTCCCAGCTTGGCCTGGACCTCTGCCTGCTGCAGCAGCAGCTCCCTCTATAGCTGGCACTGGCTCCCCAGTCCTGTCATGCCAGAGGCCATGGCCCATCAGAACAGCAAATCCAGAGAAACTAAATCAAAGCAGACCTTTTACTACTTGATCCTGGCAGCAAAGATTCAGGTCTCCTGAAGAAAAGCATGGCAGCTGTCACCGGCCCTCAAACAGATTTGCCAGGCCAAGAAATAAGCCTCACAGATCATTTCTGCATCACTAGAACAAAAGGCAGTTCCTTCCATCAGGCAGTGAAACAAACATTAGGGGACATCTGACACCCACCCGAAGAGGTGTGTGTGGGTGTGAAGGGAGAGAGTGACTGTTCTCCAAACCCCATAGCAGCCTGTGTGCCCCCCAGGCTTCCCAGAGACATCGTGGCTGCCCCTGCTCCTGCCTCAGCACCAACCACTGCAACAGGGACTGCTCTCCAGTGCAGCTGAGGATGGGGATCAGTGACAGGCTGGCACTGATGCATTTTCCTAAGGGGATCTGACACAGAATCATGTCAGGAAGTGCATACAAAAGTGGGCTTTTTTTTTTTAATTGAAAAAGGTAAGTCTAAAAGGACATTGAGTTTGCTTGTCCTCAGTTCAGAGTTGTGCACAGCTCCAGCTCTATCCAGCTGCAGCCTCCCCTGCTCACCCTTTTCCTAGTTTACTGACAGATTCTTCACCGTGAAACTCTTTCATTTATTGTCATTTATCATTGTAACAGCTGGGGATTGCTATAAATTATTACCATGTAAGTGAAACAGCCCTTGGCCTAACATGAGCAATGCTGCTATTCACCATTCATGCAGGTACAAGCACTGGAAGGCTACAAAATTTAATAATACTAGGAGTATTTGTTCCCCCATTTCTCACCTTTTCTGGGACTGGG